TGTGTGTGTGTGTGTGTGTGTGTGTGTGTGTGTTTTCTTAAGTTTTCGCGGGTACTTACATGTATGGTGTTCGGCTTGGTTCGGGTATTTTCCCACGTCATTGTAGTTCTTTTACAGTTGTAGCAACGTTTCAGCAGAATCTCATCTGCCATCATCAGGCTTCTGTATTACATATTACATATCAATACATATATATATTGCACTGAAGCCCATTGAAAAGGCTTTGGCCCCCTTTTTTTTTCAAGCAAAATTTAGAATTAAGTTTTTCTGATACAGTGTTTTGGGTTACTTGATTTTCAACAACGATCAATATTCTTGCCTTGGGAGAGGGAAAGGGTACGTGGGAGAGAGAGGCATCAGATACAGATGTCAGCTAGCACCAAGCAATATTGTTCATTTAAGCAATAAACAAGTCATTGTTTCCTCCTCTGAGACATGTCACAGATCTCTCCAGGCAGAAACAAGACGGACATTAATATATTTTGGCAGTCAGAGGCATTACCATGTTATCAGTAGCAAATCAAGGACATTCTAATCAACATAAGGGGGAAAAGGCTAACAAAATTTAGCTGCCAATTTGAGGGAGATAGATACATGATAGATGATAGATAGATAGATAGATAGATAGATAGATAGATAGATAGATAGATAGATAGATAGATAGATAGATAGATAGATATAGAGGGAGGGAGGGAGGGAGGGAGGGAGGGAGGGTTAGCTAGCTAGCTAGCTAGCTTATGGTCATGATATAATGTAAATGAAGCCATAACAGGAAATGTTTAAGCTATGTATTTCTTTAGCTTACCGAAATCAATGAGAAAAACCCAGTATTTTTCAGAGAAATGAGTGTGATTTGAAATGGAAAGCATTTGATTGAACTGTGCTCCTTGTTCTTTTAGAAACTACCTTACACAGCTTTTCATACATGGATGACTGGTGGACACCATTGGAGAAAGTCACAATGGCCATGGAACACAGTAAATCATAAAATATTCAAGAACAGAAATCTCATCCCAATTGATTTCTACTCCTCGTAATTTCATAGATGTACCTGTGTACTTTTCTTTGCAGCAGAACAAAAGTTTTTTGCTATTCTAGGATCTTTTTCGAGGCAGTGTAGACTTACTATATTATTTTATTAATAGTATAATTTGATTGTATTAGTAATAAAATACAATAAAGCCAATTGGCAGCTATTACTTTGCAATCAATTGCCCAAGCTCTTCCAGAAAAGCCAATTTTTACCAACTTCTGGAAAGTCATGAGAATGAGGACATACTCCCTTCAGAGGCATGCTGTTCCATAAAACGGTAACCATCACAAACAACAAATGGCAGACAGATGACAATCTTCTAATCTCCTTGGTGGCAGTGGGAAGATGGTCCTCCATGGTTGCCAGATGACTGAGTATCTGAGACTCTGCTATGAGACAATTGTGAGACAATTAACTAGGAAAAGAGATGACTTGTTGTGCTCTCTAAATGGAATATTGATACAATCTGGTGTTGGTGAACGTTTGTAGTCTCAAATTCCAGTTCTCTATTTTGATACACATATGAAATGAATCATATTTAAGGTAATGTTACAATGTTGTTTCACCTAAATGAGGTGCTATGAGTAATGGATGGATATCATCAACCTATGTTTCCTTCAAGTTTATCACCTTCAAAGGTCTTCTTTAAATCCTATTTTGACATTTTCCATCTGAATTCTGAAGTTGGCCAGTTTGGTGGGAGGATCCTGAGATTTGATACACATTTTACAATAAAATCTCCCTGGGGAAGCTCATTTGACACCAATCTAAGACATATTGTAGAGTTGTGAACAGAATTCCGATTCTTTTCATAACTGATCTTAATCTATTGGGTAATATGCTATAGATCATTCACAGCTGCCTACATTTTTTAATTATCTTGATGATACCACTAATGTTGGTAATATGAAAAAATATGCCCCAAATCACTTAAGAGCAATTTTTATTCTCAATATAAATTTGCCATTATGAGTGCAATGGCATGATGTGTGTGACTATGATGACATCTTGAGGCAACTTTAAAAATTAAGTTTATAAGGAATTCAAAAAAGGCAATTGACCAAAATAATCCCATCAGAATAGCAAATAAATTTTGTTTAACCTAGTAAGAATGAAATATTTCCTACAACAGTTTTATTTGATCTGTGTATTCTTAGAATGCATTTCTAAGAATTGGCTGAACCTGGAATTAATATTCAAAGATATTTTAAATTAATAATTTAAGCAGAAAGCTCTGAAGGCTCATTCAACTGGTAGTTTGCTTCAAATTCTTAAACACTGTGCCGTAAATCATGTTTCAATAAATTTCAATCTAGTTCTTTTATTTCTAAAGGCTGGAACAATGAAATTGCTCAGAAGAATCATCTTAACTGGAGTAGGCTTTTCAGAATGTTATAATGCTACCATACCATTGTTTCAAAAATAAATTTGTAAGATAAAAATGATTATTAATTTTAAAAGGCAGAAATTGGGACAATATCCATTTAAACCTATGGAGGCTTTTTGTTGCTTTAAAGTAGATAACTATAAAATTTCAATTAAGGAAAAACTCAAAAATGTGTGCATCTTTATGGAAGCCCCCGTGGCCTAGCAAAATAGCTTTTTTTAATTAGAAGCAAATAACAAAGTAGAAATGATGTATTTAACTAATTATAGTGATAGCTATAATTTATATCAGTAATTCATCTGCACGCCCAAGTGTGCAGCAGGCATGTTTCTTCTATCAATCAAATATTACTAACCTTCACATCAACTCCAGATTTCAAGTTTCTTCATGCCTTGCTTCAAGAATGTGTCCACCACCCCAACCTAGAAGTATGCATAACCCATTTGCTGTTGTATGGAATTCCCTAATATTTAAAGATATACAATCTTCACATTTGATTTTCTATATCAAACAGTAGATTTATCACTTCCATGGTCCCTCACTTATTCAACAGTCATACTTTTAAGGCTATTCTTGATCTTTGATGTTTCCCTGACATATTGCTTACATTAATAAATGAAGAGAATTTTAAACTAACTAAATAAGACATGTTAGCTTTAAAAGGCAGAAGCTGCCAGACTGATATGGAAGATCAGGACTCTGGTTTAAAAGCACAATATGGTGTGCAGAAATTGATTGCAGTTAACCCAGTTTCCTACTGCTTGAATGGAAGATTTGCTAAGTATTATTTTAATCTCATGATAGGAAAGCAAGCAAGGTATCAATGACGATAAAAAAATACCATGCTACTTCCAGAATCTGTCACAGCGGTCCCTTGTTTCTGACATTTGTGGCAAGCCAACATGCACCAGTTAAGACCTAAACACTTATCACATTTTCAGAAGACAACTCACAGGTTGCTGTTTTAGCAATAGCAGAGTTATGTACTATTTTACAGTGTTTTACAGCTCTCTCTAAGCAGTTTACAGTGTCAGCAAAGTGCCCCCAACAACCTGGGCCCTCATTTTACTGAGCCTGGAAGGATGGAAGACTGAGTCAACCTTGAGCCTGGTGAGATTCAAACTGCCAAACTGCAGGCAGCTGGCAGTCAGAAGTAGCAGCATGCAGTACTCATGGTTTTGGTCACCAAGCCAAGAACAAATTAAACAGAAAATGTAATAGGCCTCTGGCGACGTTATGGTTTGTGTGCTTCATGAGAATAAACTCTATAGCCATCTTACTTGAAACATTTTCCCTACTTTTTCTTCCCCTCTTCTAAAGGCTTTCTTTAAAAATGTCATTTTTTTCAGTAGGAATCTTGGGAAATTTATTTCTTTGTAACTTTTTCTTTAGTCAACCCCATCACCATTCTTCCTGCAGCTGAAGTATACAATTGCACTCCAGAAATAATTAACTTTTCTTTACATATATAGACTCTTAAAAAAAAAACTTAACTATAACTGCCAAGAAGAGCCAGTGCGAAAAAATCAAATTCATTTTCTCTTACCTTATACTTTTAACGTGTAATTTTTATTGACCTTTGAAGTTCAGATTAGGTATTTTGAGGTATTCCAGCATTTTAAATAACAGGCAGCACTAAAGCTGTAGAAATTAGTTAAAGAAAAACAGCCATCTTATCTTCCTTTTTTTAGCCTTGATTAGTGTCTTGAATATTCCCCCAGAAATTCAGCTATCTCTCCCTCATTTTAGAGAACATTGATCTAAAGTAACCTGACAGAAGACAGAATAAAAGTCTAGGCCAAGTATGACATGTAATTCAATTCCTGAAAAAAATAATTCCACTATTTCCAACACTTTAAAATTATATTATTTTGAATTCCTTGAATAAAGCATGTGTTGTGTATTAATATATAATTTTTGTTGATTTTTTTGCTTGAATTGACTAGATTAATTAACTAAATAGTCTGGTAAGTTCTGCACTTTAAAAAATCAAAAGAATTTATAGAAGCTTATTGAAAGCCCTTTTGACACTAAAAAGGACATGAAGGTGCAAACTTTAGATATTTCCATTAATCAAAGATCCATATTAAAATCTGAACTACTATGTTAAAATCTTAGTAGAATAGAAAAGAAAAGAAAGAGTTGGAAGGGACCTTGGAGGTTTTCTAGTCCAACCCCCTTGCCTAGGTAGGAAACCCTACACCACTTCAGACAAATGGTTATCCAACATCTTTTTAAAAACTTCTAGTGTTGGAGCATTCACAACTTCTGGAGGCGAGTTGTCCCACTGATTAATTGTTCTGTCAGGAAATGTCTCCTTAGTTCTAAGTTGCTTCTCTCCTTGATTAGTTTCCACCCATTGCTTCTTGTCCTTCCTTCAGGGGCTTTGGAGAATAGTTTGACTCCCTCTTCTTATAGCAGAAGAGAATAGCCAGACCTCTCTTACAAGATAGCTGGATACTTTTATATAAATGAATTGATACATTAACATAATTATAAATAATGCTTCACTGGACTCCAGTTCCCTTTAAACTCTGCATGTTTATTACAATTGTCCTTTCCTTTAGTAAATAAACAGTGAACCTTTGTAGTTTTTATTTATGGAAAAAATTAAATGACTTAAAGGATATGCTATGCCAAAAATTCAAAACAGATTAAAACAAAAGAACATCCAAAACTAAAGGATCACAATAGGGGGAAGTAGTACAATTATATTAGAAAAAGACACAAGTTAAAAAATCTGAATTCTGCTACTCTTTCAACAATCTGCACATCCAAAGAATGAATTCAGTACAAAAATGCATTTACAAGGTCATCCTCCAAAATAAAACTGATTTTATAAAGACAATTCATTTTATGTGTTTCTCTTATGTTGATTTTGAGATATTTGTTGGGATAGGAAATATATTCTGTTTTCTTATCATAGCTTTCATGAAAAGAAACCCATACACTTAATACTGAGGTCTTAACACTATTTCATCTAGATGTCAACAGAGCTCTTCATGTACTATGAAGAACAATATATCCAATAATATTCCTATGAAAAAAGACACAACTGTTCAAATAAAAACTTCTTTACATCTTAGATGCAGGGGAGAAATGCATGCATGAAGAGTTTGTACAACCGAAAAGCCAGAAGTGTTTATTAAAAATTTCCCCAATTTAAATTTAAAAATTGAGATTTAAAATCTATTCTAATCATGGATGTGGTGTGATAAATGGCTCAACAATTTAAAGAATCAATGAAAAGAAGGAAAGCTTGGAAATAGATCTTCAGACCACAACCTACTTTCCCTTTTTATTGTGTGTTTTGTTGCTCAAACATCTATAGCAACACACAAATAGGAAGGAGTTGCAACAGTGATAATCCCTCTTCCCCAAACAATCATATGGTTTTGGAAGTATGGACGAAGCAAAAGCCAACCTTCACTGTAGTTGCCAGAACAAGCATTTCACGAGATAATCTGTACTGAAAAGTTATGCAGTCTTCATCTCTTCAGATTCACTGCTGCGTAACAATGTTTCTATGGCAGATCCCAACATAATTGAAGAGCAATCTAACTTGATGAACAGATGGGAAAAGTCTGTTTTAAGAGCTTTGCATTGGTAGCCCTGTGTGTTAGGAAGTTAAAGGGAAGGGGAATCAATGGAGTGGAACAAGGAAACACTTTTTTTTTTACATTTCCTTTTCGGATTTTATTTCAAATCTAATTCAAAATGTCAAAGCTACAAAAAAAAAAAAAAAAAAAAAAAAGACGAGGGAAACAATTATGGGGGTTTCTCCTAACTCACAATATTCTAAAACAAAGTATCACTACTGCCAGCAGATCTGTTACACACATTTCAGATGAAGTTTCTAAACACAAAATCTCATTCTGGGAAATAGCCACAATGAAGGTTTTGTACAATATAAAACATTGACAGGTCTACCAATGCAGTTACTCATGAATATACACGTGCATTCACACACAAAAAAAGGAATGCTTTTTTCATTTGTTTGTTTAACAGACTGTTCAGGCACAAAAACAAAACCGCATTTCCAGTAAGTGACAGCATCATAAAAATTAACAGTTTGTCAGTGTTTACTCTTCTTTGACTTCTTGTGAGATCTGTGTGGAGAACGAGATTGAGATCTGGATTTTTTCCCTGACTTTTTAGGTGATCTGGATCGTGATCTTCTTGATCTTTTTGGTGTCCTTGAACCAGATGGTGACCTAAAAATAAACTAACTGATGTCAATAATTTTCACCTTCAATTTCTATCTATGCTTTTAATGCTTTACAGAAAGAGACAATTGATAATGCTATACTAAATTAGGTTTCAAGCAAATTTGTCTTCCAAAACATACAAATACATGAAACTGGAATTTAAAAACAACGTGTGTATATTATATGTATCAATAGAAATTCATTTAGGTTGCAATCCTATCAGAAATATCTATTGATAAAAGTTACCACTAAACTTAGCAGTAACTGACTTAAATAAATATGTATACCAATCTCATGTTAAAGGTGCATCTCATGAACCAGGATAGTTATTAAAATGCCCCTCTCAAATGTTCAAGCTCACTTGTTAAAAGTTGAATCATAGAACTGTTTTTAATTATAGAACCTTTACTGACTTACTCTCTCAACTACCTCTGCACTTAACATACTGCTTTCCCTCTTAATTTTACATTCATTTCTCTTTAATATACTTTAGTCACTCCAACTTTGCAATCTGATCATGATCCTGTTTTTTGCCTTTTATTTTCTAACTTTCATACAAATAAGGCTATTTTAACTGGTTTTAATACAATAGTCAATCACATCAAAAATTAAGATTATGATGATGTTGCTCTACCAAATTCTTCCTATCTCAATGAACATCAAGTATGTGTATAAAATTAAACAGCATACTGCTGCAGAGATTCATAGTTTCCATGTTCCCACAACATGCTTCATTCCTTTAACTATCTCAATCTAATCTTCTTACCAGTGGTTAAGATATCCACAATCATACCAGATGGATAAAATTCACCATACTGGGATTCCAAGTCATGTACCATGAATGCTTTCATCAGTAAATTATTAGCAAGGCTTCATGTCATCTCTAGCCCTCCCAGGCAGAATACGATAAAAACAGTTGGGCAATAAGTACTATAACAGGGAAACTAAGTTTTTCAAAGTTTTTTTTCTTGCTACTTTTCCTTGCACAAAAATATCCAATATGCATTTTTAATATTCCCAAGAAATGACTACCTTGGATAGACTAACTTTAACCCTTGCAAAATTGGGTCAGTTTTAAATTAAATTTAACCTTCAGATGCTAGTTGTCTGGGTTAATTAACCTTTTTAGGGTTCCAATAACAAGCACACACATACAATAGGTTGAAATAAGCCTTCCAAGAGGATGTTAAATTGTCTTTATACTTCTGCCATCATAAATAAAATCAAGACTCAATCCAGTATAAATTACATATTGTTTAATTGGGCTTTTTTAGTTTTTCAATCTTTAAACTTTCCAATTAATATCCAGATCTTCTTACCTTTAATTCCTTTAAATCTTCTTTCCTGGTATGCTGGTTGTATCCTGCCACTTATTACATTATATAATCTTATTATTAAATAAAAGTTTAAATGATTATAAATGGCACTAAATAACAAAATAAACGACAATTTGAACAGTAAAACAAGCTATGGTTTACCTCTTGGCTTTTTTACTGACATCTCTGGGAGAATCTTTATGGGAAGATCTAGAACGTGAGCTTTCTTTATGAGATCTTTCAGACCTTTCAGATCGTTCAGATTTCGGTGATGGAGATTTTGCCCGCCTGCTTCCACTGCTGCGCGATGGGCTTGGTGATGTGCTATGTCGTCTTTTCCTTTTGCAAAAACAGTAGAAATTATCACATCTGAAGCATGGTCCAATAAAAATAGTCTATAAAAAGTTTGGGACTTAATTTATTTGCCAATTAAAATGTCCAAAAAAGTCTTGTAGGTCTGGAAAAACACTGTGACATAAAATATTTTGAGTTGTCCAAAACAAATTTTTGCCAAGCTGGGATGATCCACATAAACTATAATATTACTTGGGGTTAACAGATATATCTGGAGTTTTTTTGGCCATGCATAGCTTGAGAAAGCAAAGCACAAACAAAAATAATGTTTTTTGTATATTTCAAACAGTGAGTTATTGGGAATGTCAAACTGTTCTTTGGAAAAAAAGTAAAATTTTAATAATATTAAATACTTTCACACCTCTATTTGTAAACATTAATTGTAATGGGCTAGGATTCTGGAACTATAAAAATCTAAATTAATGGAGCAAGAAAAATATCATCTTTCATAATGCACATATTTTGGTAAAACATAAAAAGAAATTAGTAAAATTTTATATATAGGAATAGAAGAGTAAAATGAAGAGAGAAATAGAGACAGAATTTTTTAAAAGTGTATATTATGAAATGCTTAGGCCCGTAATTGTAACTGCAATAAGGCAGTTGTTTGTTTAAATATTATACCTTTCTTTCCTTGTTGGTGTACATTCTTCCTTTTCCTTCTTCTCTTTGGATCTTGAATCAGATTTCTCTTTATCCTTCTTATCTCTTTCCCTTTCCCTTTCCAGTTCCTTTTCTTTTTCCTACATGTAAAATATAACAGAATCATGAAAGTAACCTTAGAGATCATTGAGTCCAAGCCCTCCAAAGAATAGAATCTGTTGGAACATCTCTGATAGATTAATGAGACTCTCTTCAAAGACTTCTTCTGAAGAACTCATGATTTCAATCTTAGCTAAGTTAGTTTTCCAAATGGAAACCAAGGATGTGAAACAGGGATCATTAATTAAGATCATTAATTCTTCTAGGTAAGTTCTAGCATTACTGTCTCTGATATTCTATCTCCAGTGTTTTCAATACACGTTGCCTGACTGAATAGAGAATTATTTGCCCAACACTAGTTGTTTCCCCATAGTAAATGATTTATTAAAATTAAGTGAAACAACATTTTTTTCAAACATCTTTAATGCGCTGGTATGAAACCATCACTTTATGTGCTAGGAGAGACTAAGTATTTTTACATAAGCCAAATTATGTATTACTAAAGAAATTTAGTAAAAGTATTTTGTGGAAATAAATCTTTATCTGAATTCATATTACTTTTTAACTGCAAACGGCCTTTATGCCATACTCTAACACAGGGGTGTCAAACTCAAGGCCCGCAGGCCGGATTTGGTTGGATCAGGCCCGCAGAGCTGTCGTGGTCTACCCACGTCACTTCGGCCCAGTCTACTCATGGCACTTCAGCCCGGTCTACCAATGCAGAGAGGAAAGATCAGGCCAGCTAAGCTTCAGCCTGACCTATCTGCTGCAAAGAGGGAAGATCAGGCCAATGTAGCTTCAGCCCAGTCTACCCAATTAGGTCAGCGTGGCTTTGGCCTGGTCTACTCAATGCAAAGAGGAAACTTGCCAGCAGTTTGGGGAGTGGCATCAAGCTGACCACACCCACCTAGTCAACCACACCCATCCACTCAGCCACGCCCTCCGGCCCCCAGAGATCAACCACAGCCCTGATGCGGCCCTCAATGAAATTGAGTTTGACACCCCTGCTCTAACATAACCACAGCTTCACAGAACAGTTTTGTACACAGAGAATATATTGATATACAACTGTTTATAAGATTCAGTATGTCCACATAGGAAGATATAACTTTCTGAAATCCTGAACAGCTATTACAAAATCTGTGCACAACATTAAGCTGTACTGACCTATGATCTGAGAGGAGTATCAATGAACTGCATTGACCTATGGACAGGCATTATATAAAGCAGGATTTTTTTTTCTGTAACCATGTTTCAATTAAAAAAAAAGCATAACTATATTTTTGACTCCTGTTCTGGCATGGTTGCAAGGAAACGGTAAGATATCTCATACCGTTTAGTGGGAAAGGAATTTAATATTGACTGATTGATTTCATTTGATTGCCCACAAGATGATTCTTGGGCGGTTCACAATTTTATTCCACCCCAACCAGAATATTTTTTTTAATTTGAACTATAGTTTTTTCAAATAAGTAATAAAGAATGTATGCTTTGCCTTTTTTTTTTTTACTATAAGACTACTTACAAATTGGACATATGCTATATATGTTAAGCAAAAGTTCCTTACTTTGCATTTTATGTCCTTTTCTGAAGTCAGACTGGGGTGTGCAGAAGAACTCACTCGAGTTCACTACTCATACAAGTCATATTATGCCATAGTTAAAGGGTGGCGGTGGCAGTATTATTATTAAAATACTTCATCCAAGCCACTGAAAACTAATGTAAAATTCTAAATTGTAAACACTACTTACTCTCTGGAGCAATTTGTCACGGTAATGTTCAACTTGTTCCTGAAGACTCTGGCCTTGTTTCTTCGGTCTTTTTCCAGATTCTAATTCATCTTGAAACTTCATTACTTTCAACTAAGACAAAACGTATTTTTTAAAAAAAGCACTTATATGCAAGTTTGTAAAAGACAGAAAAGCAGAATACTGTTTTAATTTAGTCTTAACTCTGACATATATGACTGAAACAGTCTTCTAAGAAGCTCTGCAATTACAAATATCCATAACAAGATTCAAGTTTTTAATGATCTTGTTAAAACTATGGATTTATCTCTAAAACTATGTAAAATAGTATTACTGTTACATTACTTTATTTCTTTTTCCCCTCTTCCATCATTGCTATGAGACCAGAAGTTCATTTATCTAAACTTTGTGTAATTTAGAATAACATCTAAATAGAGACAAAAATGAAACAAGCCAACTTCATGTATTTTGAAGTTACCTTGCTTCAGTAACTATAGTGCATGGTTGAGTGAGAGTTTCTCAGTGTGCTTCTTTTTTCTCCCTGTATTCATATCAGATAAGAAGCACAATGTACACCACCTAACACTCATTTATATAAAGTTACGATTAACTTACATTATACTTACATATAGCTATAGTGTTTTAAAGAGAAGAAAATAATCATTTATAACTACCCAATTCTCAACTAGTTTTGTATGCCCTTTTAAATGCTTAAATAAGGGTCAAAATTCTATTATATACTACACAATAGAATTACATTATTCAATGGACATTTTTACTTAGAAAGTATATTTAAGCATACATTTGAAGGAATGTTTAAAATAATAATAATAAAATAATCTGAGACGGTACTTTAATTAACTTATAATACTTTGTGATTATGATTAAAGCATTTTTATTCAATGATTTTCACTTTTTGCTATCAAGTAAAAAAAATCCTGTTTGCTTCAAGGTTTGAGTGGGGGCACACGGAGATCAAAACTTTTAAACATTAATTCTATAAAATATATTGTACATATTTTATGTTTAAGGGGATAACATTCAAATAAGTGGATAATATCTATTGGGTTTTTTAAAAAGTTTAATTATAAATATTTTCAAAAAATTTAAATGTACATATCTATAAATAAGCTTTCTAAAGGACGAAAGACTTCAAATCAACTGTCAGAAAGAGGGGAAGCTGGCTCTATTTTCATCGTTAAATAATTTTGCTGATCACTTAATTTCATTTACCACCACTAACACAAATTATATTTGTAGCACTGTTTTCACAAACATACCTCAATTTCTCTGAGTTTGGCACGCTTTTCCTCACTCATTTCTGAGAATTTGCTTGATGACTTTGAATCAGGTATTTCTTCTCTAATAGGATTGGAGTAAAGGTGGTGCTCCTCAGATTTAGAACTTTGAGTATCCTCCTCATCTTCACTTTCTTCTTCTTGGCTTTAAAATAACAGAAATAACACCATGATTCTCTTAATTTATTCATAATAGAAAGGTTTGCAACTTCCTAAGAAAGTATTTATCATAAAATAAGAACACATTGATGGGACTCCAAGAATATGTACTTCCTATTATTATGTATTTCAATTATACAAACTATATTCAATTTTAAAAATTAAAAAAATATATAGTTTAGGGGAAGGAAAGGACAAGGAAAACAATGCATTTTTTGTTTCTTCTTCATACCTAAAGACAGCATAAAAGGTAAAGCTTATTAGATATAAAATCTTATAAGTCCAAACATTTTAAATGCAATACAGTGTAATAGCATAATATCAAAGTTTTGCTCCAGGAGACATAGAATAAGTCACAGTATTTAAAGAGTGGGAGATAGGATTTAATCAGAACAAATTGATGTCAACATTTAAAATATAAGAGAGGAATTGAAGATGTTGTACTGTGGCAGAAACCTGGTCTAAAATTGGAGAACTAAGGATTGAAATCCTCACTTAACCATGAAGCCTGTTGAATATCTCTCTCAGCCTAATCTCATCATAGTTATGTGATAGTGGTGGGAATGGATAGAAATATATATACCACATACTGTCACAGGGGATTGGAAAATTTGAGAAACAGAGACTAGAGTGTCTTCAAACTTGACAGCTTTAAGACTTGTGGACTTCAACTCCCAGAATTCCTCCTCCAGTCATGTTAGCTCAGGAATTCTGGAAGTTGAAGTCCACAAGTCTTAAACTTGCCAAGTTTGAAGACCCTACAGCATCTTGAGAAGCATTTTATACAGCCTAAAATTAATGAGAGAATTCAGAGGGGATTCTGGGTTGTGAACTTCAAAATAATTTCATATGTATAATTCATATCACATACAAAAAGAGGGATATTAAAGATAATGAAAAGGATAAAGCATTTTTGGATCTGACTTTGTTTCTTAGAAACAAAGTCCCACTTCTATCAAAGATTTATAATATTCAACTGTTAATGATAAGCATCATATTCTAAAGTTATTGTTATGCATTAAAAGTTACTGTGAAACCTTTAATAATTCAAAGCTCTATTTTAACTTTAACCTGGATATGTTTCAATGTATCATCCTATTAGGCAACTTTTTAGGAGCTATCAGTGAACTTTGACATTATGGACTGTAATGATATGGAGTCCTGTCTAAAATCCAAGAGCATCCACTATAAATCTGATAATGAAAGGTGTTTTCATATTCAAAGCCAGTTCAGAGAGGCATGTTATGAGCTTGGTGAACAAATGTACAGTACAATGCCAAAAACTAAGACAGCCTGAGAAATATATCCAGAATGCATACTCTACACAGCCAGTGTTTCTCCTTTTCTAGAAAGAGACATTTTTCCCAAATGTACAGTGAAACGATCCCTTCATCTTAGAAGATGAAACTCACTTCAAAGACCACATGATACATGCACTCCTTGTATTTATTAATCTATCACTGCCCTTTCAGAATGGCCACTTTGGCACACAGTTCATTCAAATCTTTACTTTGTTAATGCAATCAAAGTTTCTTTTGGAAAAAATATGTGTTTGCATGAATTTTTGCAAGTGTACCTGAATTGAAACAGTTTTGTTAATTTTGCTTCAATTAGGAGATGTGAAAGTTGCAATAGATATTGCATAAATATCTTGTTTCTTCCTTCTTCCCTCAATATTTTTATATTGGAGGAAATATGTAGATTCTACTACTACCCTTTATATATACTCCAGAAATAACCAAGAAACTCTGTTTTATGAAAATCACAAAACATTTTTATTCCATTTATTATGCTTACGGGAGAGTAAACAAGGGAAAAATGGTCTTACTTCTGATTTTCTTCTTCCTCTGATTCCTCATGCTGGTCAAACAGCTCCCATTTAGATGTTGTTACCGCTAGGATGACAATCAATTATTGTACAAAAATGTCAATATATAAGTATTTTAAGAGAAATTTGTAAATATTCTAAATTCTTGTAACTTCCTAAAGTTTTATTTAATGGCACTGACTCAAGAGTATGAGTGGTATCTGTGTACTATTTTATTAAGCATAATAAAATAGAAACAGGACTTAAATAGGAACTAACCTTGAGCTTCAAGCGCAGACTCGTCAACTGCTTCCCATTTTGAAGGGGCAACTTTAAATATTGGCTCATTTTTTTTAGATTCTTCAGATCCATCCACTATTGAATAAAAGAATTATGCAAAACATAATACAACTCTAAGTATGCTCTATTTTAGAGCACCTCAATAAGAAAATCCAAATTTAAGAAATGTTCCCCAGATTATCCTGAAAGGCAGAAGAAATCTATATGCGTATTTAGTGCAAAGTAAGCCCCAACATGTACAACAGAATTGACCCCCTGGTAAGTTGCACTCAATGCTCTACAAGCAAATTTCTGCTCCCACAAAAGAAACTTTCTTAGTTTGCCTTCTCCCTGTAATTCAGAATGCTGCCAAAAACAGTTCTGGAGGAACTCTCAATCATCCAGAAAAAATCTGGGGGTCTGAATGAAGGAATTCAGGCAGGTGAAGTAATGTAATATAGTAGTCTCCAACCTTTTTGGCTTTGTAGAATGCTGGGGATAGGGGGGAAGGGAATGGCTATGCACGAGTGGGAACGAGTGTGTGTGTGTGTGCATGCAGCTCCATTTGCATAAGTGGAGCACACATGCGCCTACTGTTTACACAAATGGAGCTTCATGTGTGCGTTCACCCACTGCTTGTGAAAATGGAGCTGCATGCGTTCGCCCACCACTTCTGTGGCTGTTCCAAACAGGCTGCTGCTCAGTACTCGGCCGAAGTCCAGGGATTGGGGACTCCTGGTCTAATATACCAAAGCTATTTTCGGCCTGGACAAAACTTCATCTCGCCATACACATTCCAAATTCTGAAAATTCAGGCAGAATTCACCAAAGTATAGTAACTTCATATAAAAATATGTCAACTAAAAAGTTCATTGACGCAGATAAATATTATAATACTTAGAAAGGCCTGTATGTACAATTTTAACATCCAAATTCACTTGATTTAAATTCAGATATTTACAAGAACTGAAATGTTAATAAAAAGCTAGGCAGATTTTAAAACATATATATTATTTTGCATTAGATCGATTTTCATATGCTTTCAAAATTAATTCTGCATGAAACATCTTTCTCCAGAATAACTACATTATTTACTATATTGATTTGCTATTCCTTAAATATAGTCTACAATTATCTGCATTAAAATTGTAATTAGAAAATATGTTTTTATTTGCATGTAACATAATTTTATAATAAGATGTATGTTTCTAAATAACATGCTAAATTAGAACATTCCTTACAAGGTACTCCATCAAGATCATCATCAATTGATTTAATAGGGATTCCGTCAAGATCATCGATTGGAGTGACATCAATAGGAATTCCGTCCACATCTTCTAGTGGAGCACCATCAAGTTCTTCTTCAATGGGAGCTCCATCAAGATCATCAGGTACTTCCTGAGAATAAAACATACACTGAGATAAATATAATCCAAGTATTTTCTCAAGTCCTTATTTCATTATTTCCTCACATAGAATTTTTTCAGCTTGTGACTTTAGTTCAAAACCTCTGCATAGTCTGTTAATTTGGGCCAATTCATATGTAAAGCAATTTCTCATCCACCAAATAGAAGAAAAACATATTTATGTGCCTTCCCTTCAAAACATCTGCGCCAAATCACATAACCGTACAAGCTCAAGAAAAAAAATCAGTGAATCTTACAAATAGATATACATGAATATATGCATTACAGTGATGCAGTGCAAGTGAGTACAACCCAATACAGAATAATCTAATCCTCACTGTGCAAAACTAGTTCATATTCATGCAGTTTTAAATTCGCAGAAATTATTCTGATTACAATTTTTCTTAAAGGCTCACAAGATTAAATAACAGATACTTTAAGTATCTGTGATTTACATCAAAAAACCATATTAGACCATCTCCTGTATTTCACATTTTACGTATGTATTTACAAAATAAATAGCAACTAATATATTCATGGTAAAATAAATTCAATCTTTTTAAGCATCACATAGTATTTTGTAACTTCCACTTTAATTACAAAATGAAACAACTTTTAATTCAATCTTCCAACTGTACCTCTTTGTACCCAAAAGAAACAGTAGGACTATAAGACCAAAAAAACCTTGGCTCTAACAACTCTTGAAACAAGTTCTATATATTTAGGACAATGCTAAGACAAATGCCTACATAACAATGTCTCTTAAACTAAGTTCCTAATTTTCCAACTACACCCATAATATGGAAGAGGTGAGAGGCTGATTTAAAACATTCAGATATTTTAGAATTCTCTCTCCCTCTCACATCCAAACACACACCTGAAAACTGATAAAGAGGCAATGCACGTGCTTCAGGTTCCAAGCAATTTCCAATACGTAACAGGTAAATGAGCTAGTTCAAAGGCAAAGGTATGGACAATGTTAACATTCATAAACAGAAAAATATTTGTTTATGCAACCTCAAATCAAATGGGAGTTTCAACTGGGAACCAATAGAAGCCTTCATATTCTAGAGTCCTAGAACAAACCTCTGCCAAAACCTCTTCCTTACCTTTACCTTTAAGGTTCTCGTTTGCTTCCAGATCAATAGTATCAATAATGGTCTTATCTCATACTTACCTCTGTTTCTTTTTCTTCAATAATATTTACAAGCCCCAAGAAAATATTCTGTAGTTTGATCAAAAATGGTTCTGGATAAATCGCCCAGTCTTCCCATGCTCTGAAGCATGTCATTACCCGTTGCTAAAAGTAGTAAACAATGCTAGTCATTTGTATTGAGAAGAACTTTAACAATAAATACAAGGCTATACATCTATTTAGCATGTGCCTTTACAGCATAGTCACTCCTGCTTTGATGGAGTTGCTAATTTTGACTGGAAAACGATAAACCATGAGATGCTGATTGTACTATTTGTAGTTTCAATGTCTTTTTCAATAGAGAACATTAAAAAAAACAAGATGGTTAAATACAGCTTGGTCTAGAGAATACTTGATATCTTTCCTCTCACCTAATATGAAAGCATCCATTCAGACCACTGAAGTACTGTAATTTTGTGTATAGAAATTGCTTATTTAATAATCAGTTTGAGGTCAAAGCAAAACTAATTTAGGAAAATTGAAAATAGCAATAGCATTTAGACTTACATACTGCTTAATAGTGCTTTGCTTTGTAGCACTCTCTAAGTGGTTTACAAAATCAGCATATTGCCCCCAACAATCTGGGCCCTCATTTTACCAACTTTGTAAGGATGGAAGACTGAGTCAACCTTCAGCCGGTGAGGACCAAACAGTGGACAGAGTTATCTGAAATACTGTATTCTAACTACTATTCACAGCTACCGATATTTCGTATAAAAAAGATCCTCAGAATTAGAACTAAATTAGAACTAATTAGAACATTTTTCTGGAAAAAGCTACTGCCTTTTCAAATCTGTTAAAAATTCTTATTCTTTATTTAGTTTTTACCTCTTATAATTATTTCTCAAGCAGGTTATAATCTAACTTTCTAATGAGGGAATTCACATTTGTGGCAATCTCCTTACAAATTTCTCTCGGAAGAAAGTTTGCCCTGGCATCAACAATATTAATGTTTTGGTTACTGGCGAAGGTAATTTTCACCTAATATTTTAAATGATACATAAATGCCTATGTTTATTTTGCCATTTATATTATGTATTTGTTATTTTATTATATGTATAGGCCACATTGAATATATTTTATGTCCTCCTTGAAAATTTGTTAACTATATAAATAACTGAGGCATTCTGCTCATGTCACGTCAACAATAACCATGCACATACCTTAAAGTTTTCAGACTGTAAATGGCCTTGTATTGTTCGGTAGGTAGCATTCAGATCAGAATATATCTGACATAGTTTTGTCTCAAAACTGAAAAGACAGTTTTCATATGTTAGACATTTTATAGTATAAAGAACTATACTGTGAAACTCAGCCAACCTAATGAAGAATTACATAAAGTTTCCACACAAAGAAACTCTGAACACCTAGTTGGAAAATGGTGTCAAGTTATGAATAAGTTTTAAGACTCAAATATAGTAGTCACATGAGATGGATCTATTACTTGGAACCCTGGCAATAGTTGCTTTATAACTGTATTTCAATACATCATTAAAAATATATTCTATGTCCACATATACATGTAGAAAATACAACAGTAATAGTACTCTTTAACTATCTCTAACTGCAAGTTACAGCAGAAAAATTAAACTGACCAAAGGAGGAAAGTCAACAGATACAAATGCTGCTTTGGTCAAAATGCAATGCACACTTTTTTTTTTTTTTTTTTTGCAAATGTGGCGATTCCTGCAGATTATGTTAAGTGTCAATATAGAGGAACCAAATAGTATATGCAAATTTTAAAGCCCACAAATAGTATTTTTTTCAAAAGAATTTAAAACTTTATACTTACAATTTTCTGTAATATGAAGCATTGGCAACTTTTGCAGAAGAATTGTATAACACATCAGAAACCAAATATAATCTTGCAATCTATAAAAAATATAGAATTAAGTTAACTACTGCTAATTTCATTTGTATTAAAAGATAAACATTTTAACACGAGTATAAAACACTACAAACACAGTAAATAACTTAGAAAAAAATCATTTTCCAAAAAGTGTAATGCAGTACCAAGTGCTGTTGAAATATACCAAACTATCAGAATTTTTTCTACACAGAAAAAAATCAAATAATGTTAAAACTTTAAAAATGATTAGTGATTTTTTTTCCTGAAAAGGAAACGAGCTGCAATTTGTATTAGAATAGTACGATTATGGCCATTAACAGATTTTAGCTTTGAATCAAGAACATATTGATTTAGTAAAACATTAGTAAACATCTTTTAATTGTCCTTTCACAGTTATTAAATAAATACCAATTCAATGTCACTGAGAATCAAAATCATGTAGAGATCAAACATACCTTTTTAGGGAGTGGCGTTTTCAAGATGGACAATGACTCTGCAATACAGTCCACTATTTCTTCAGCAGCCTCAGCATTATTAAGACAGAAAACCATTGCATCTCCAATATCATTCTTACGCGGTGTTAACCCACGCAGGATTTCCTCTAATTTGTCCCTCTGTCTAAAATTTCAGTTTCAAATTTTTAGAACACTTAGCAACATCTTTTCCTTTATATTTTTAAATGAGTTGTGTATATTATATATCAGAATCAAAGTAACTAAAAACAATCTGGTATTAGATTGATTTTACTGAAACTAAGAACATATTCTTCCATCTTTAGTCAGCAACCAAAAAAGTTGATTAAGGGATTATAAAAAACGCTGCTCCAAAAAGAAAACATACAAAACATCTTCTTATAATGGAATTTGAATATTGGGTATTACTAAATATGGGGGAATGCTGTAGATGGTCTGTTTTAGGTCTAGAGAAAAATTAGGTACATTAGGCTCTTTAAAGATGCTTACTCCTCCTTAAGTGCACCCTTCTTGCTTGGCTCTTCCACAAATGCTTCAGGTTCCTGTTCTTCAGACATCCCATGAAGATATGGATTTAAAGGGGGTGGCCTCCAAAAGGAACCATTTTTAAACATGCGAAAGTCTTCAGTCCTCCATTTGGTTGGAGCATCACCCTAACAAATAAGAACAAACATTTTAAATAAGGTAGAACAAGTGCTGGATCTTGTTTCCAATTTTGTAAGATCCCACTCTTCTTTTAAATTCCCCAGTAGTCCAGCAAGTAGAGTTAACCTAATAATACTAAAATAGTTGTAAAAACATTTCCTACCTGTAGAATTGAATAAAGCTTCCATCTGTAGTATACATGGGCTGGAGTCTGATTCTCAAATAAAAATCTAAACAAAAAGCAGAGTAGAATCAAAATATTGTAAAGAAAAATGAGACATCCTAAGTGTAAGGCAAAAAGTATTGCAAAGTTTCAAAATAAAAATAAAAAGTAACTGTTAATACAATATTTTCTATGTAACAAATTCAACAATTATATAATATATACTACAAAACAGAACTAATGAAAATATTAAATACCTGAACATTGGATTATTGATTTCTCTATTCATGATCATGGCTTCAAACATAGGTCCTTCACGTACCACAAATTCTATCATTCGATGTATTAATGCAAGCAAGTTCCTGCAACAACAACACAGTTAAAGGAAAATTGATTCATACCTAACATTATGTAAACTATGTACCACCTAAGGCATTTATAAATGAAAAAAGATTATTTTTGCTGTATAGTTACGAACATTGCTCCAAATTTTTAAAGTATACAATTATTCTAACTTTACATAGTCAAAAATAAATTTAGACAGTGGCCTTCAATATTAACATGAGTATAAAGAAGTCCTACAACTCCTAGATTATTTGTTCAGTACAAAATCTCATTGGTTTTTTATATTTACCTGAGACAACTGTATTATTTTGTATGCTGCTTAGTCTCTCTGGAGTGAAGTAATTCATAATTCTTATAAATATGAATACAACTAATGGCATGCAATAAAAGATAGCATATTAACTGTTTCTTTATATAAATCAATATGATCAAAATTACATTCATAACATTTGATAAGACTTTGTGTTTGAATAAAAAATTAAAATATTGGTTAAAAATCCTGTTTGATTATGTATAAATGTGAGGAACAAAAATACGGGGGGGCGGGGGAGGGCTGAGAATAGCCAAGGAATTCTGGTTTCTGCAATATTTTGACAGCTATATCGACAGCTTCTTGAATCACCTGGAATTCCCTATAAGACTGTGATATCAATGTATTTTTTAACAAATACAACGTTAGGGAGTAAGTTTTCTCCAGAAGCATTAAGAACTGATGAAAAGAAAGCTGTCATTAGTGTTAAACTGACTCACAGACCTCTAAATATGGTATATACTTAGTACTCTTTATTGAGTACAACTTAAGAAATTCAAAGTGTTCATTATTAAGCATTTCAAAATGCACTCATATATCTGAAGCTATACATTAGAAAAAATAAAAACTACAATTCAATTTAGAGATTATTATTTGGGGATTTCTCAGATTTTCAGAAAGTTACTTGAATCCAAAGATAAGTTAACATTAAGAAGATCACAGAAGGAAAAGATTTCCATTACCACTATACTTCCAAAACTACTTCTAGAAGATCAAGCTTTCTTCAACCAAAGATGGGTAAGGTGGGAAAAAATTCCTGAATAATAGAAAATCAACTAAAACCAGGTTACTCAATTTCTCTTTCCACCAGCAACTTTTTCCCACATACATACATACTTCTCTTTTAAGAGAGACATAAATGAGGAAGGTACTTTTCTTCTGTGAACTTATTTAAGTTAATTTATTTTAGGAAGCAGTTTCATTAACCCCAATTCAGAGAACTACAAGTAGTAGATCCATATACTACTTAATATTATTTTAGCGTTTTTTCTAAAAAGTAGTATCGTAGGCTACTTAGGAATACTGTAATTTTTAAGTTAAAAATAAGTTCTTGATCTTATAAAAGAAAGGTGCTAAATAAAAGTATGAAAAATCTATGTCACACATGTCCTCTTAAGCACATAATAAAGAACTCATTTTGTTGGGATGTTTAGTTGTTATACAAAGGTAAGTTTCATAGCATAGAAGAGGTACTAGAACAATAAAAGCTCCTCATTCCCATTTACCCACCCAAATTTCATTCTTGTATTACATGCACCAAACTGAAAGAATATTGGTTCTCTGGCACATTCAAAAGGATTTTGTAACTACTATATGAAGTATAAACCCCAAATGTATAAGTTTAGGGTTTCAGGAACTTCAAGTGTGCATAAAAATTTGCCATCAAGAACCAGAGAAAATGCACATTTGTTTTTAGTGTATAATACAAACACTGAACGGGGAAAAATCATGTTTTAATTATGACTATAACTAACCTTATACAATTAAAAGCTAACATTAATTACTAAAAGTAGCCTTTCAGGTGTTACCTTCTACTTATTTCTTAATTTCCTATCATCATCCTTCAAATTAATGCTCATAATATACAAATAATGATCATTTTAGTCACTGCAGAAGTCTAAGAGGAATTATTTGATCATATGGCAATTGTACTTTAAAATGGTCCTGCAAACTTAATTTCAGGTTCTGAATTTTAAGATTATACTTCTTTGTACTTCAAGGACTACTTATCTTATATATGAAATCACCTAAAGCTCTCCTTTCCTGCCAATGAGACATGAGAGGTTGTATAAGTAAACAAAAACAAAACCCTTTTAGTGGTAACATTCTTTTTGAAGAATGCCTTCTCCATCAAAAAAAGAGGTACAGAATTATTTTAGTTTGATTCTATCTTTCAAAATGTCTTGTTTTATTTCTTTTTAAATCTGATTGTCTTAACTGAAGCTGTTTTATTCCTGCATTTTATCTTAATGCATTTTTACTTTTTTTTTGTCTTATCCTATTTTTAAGCCAGGACATCTTGACAGAATGCAGCCTATAAATAATGCAAAGAAACACAATGAAAATAAGCAGCATGAACAAATTCATGAATTCCAAAGATAAATTTCCCTCCTCTTCTTTAAGCCCACTAAATTTACAATCCTAAATAATGACACCAGAGAACTCAATGGGCTTATCCTTCTCTTTTCACTATTTCCAAAACACATTGTCAGTATATTGAAACATCCAAAACCATTTAAATTCAACAATAAAGTGAAACGTCAATTTAACAGACCTAATGTGGGGGAAATCAGTTGTTATTTACAATTGTCTATAAATTAGAATATACATCATTCACATGATGTCATTACAGAAATCATTTTATTTCATTGGTGTAATGACACTATTACACAAATGACATAAAATGATTTAATACAACAGGAATTCTCATCCACTGCAACAGGTTTCCAAATAGGGGTTTCACAAATGTATGTATTGATATACAGATAAATATTTTCCATCGCTGGACTCTTAAATTGCTGCAGTGAGCAAAACTAGAACATTCCTTTTCTGAAACAGACTTGTTTTCAGTCCTAAACAACAACAAAAATAAAGAAACATTTGCAAACACATTCTCTTGGCTCTCGTAAGTCGTATCACAAAGCTCTTCAGCACTGAAAAGTGTTCTCTTTTTTTTAAAAAAAAAGCATCATTGAAAAGATGCTTGCATTTCTGTCTTCAAAATGTATAGCCTTGGTTACATTATGAATGTTTATGATAAAAAAACAACATAAAACAAAAGGATAATAGTTTGTAAAACATTATTTTGGCCAACAAAAAGAAGTCTTTCAGTTATAATAAAACCACATTAATTGGAGCTGATCGTACCAATGTCTGGTCAAAAATTGTATACTTTCCCAATCCATCCCATGATGTTTTCCTGGTCCCCCGCTGCCGCAGACAGTTCAGCTGGTGTTGTTCACCAAGGCCAATGTCAAAGAGAATTTGGAAATCTTTTGTGCTAGTTTATTTTAAACAAGTGTTTGTGTTGCTATGTTTCAGAAGAGCTTTATGCTTGGCTGAGCAAGGATTTGCCTGGATATATGCTGTACTCCTTTGGCCCTGAATTACATTAGACTAAATTATATCCTGATTATGAAAATTATAGCTGCCATACTTAGATACGCGTAACATTCTCACCACTTAATATAGAGAAAGATAAAGTAATTATGAATTATTATGCTAAAGCTTTCAGAAGATTACAGAAAAAATCTGTCATCTAAACCTCTAAATCATACAAATCAATCAATAAGCCAAGATCAAAACCATGATAACCCATAACAAAGATGATATTACTGTAATTCTGGATATAATTAAAATCTACTCCATACCCCCATGCTGATGCAATAAATGTACCCTTTTGATCATTAAACTAATAGTTTAGCCTAAAACCACTGATTTTTACTGACATCCAACAGGCCACCTTTTAAAAACATGACAACTGTAGATATACTTTATAGTGACTGGTCACAGTAATATGGTCCTGTATGCTACCCAGACACAATGAAAAGTACAATCTAAAACATTTTTAAGGCATACAATTGAGAAAAACTAGGCTTTCTTTGTAGCTATCTACTAAAATAATTCCAACTTCATTTCATTTAATCCTACAATGAAACTGAAATACTAGTAAAAGTCAATTTAATATACATTATCACACCTACAAAGCAACCATTGCTCAGTCAAGACTAAACTTTTCCTCAACATCACAATTTATATAAAATTCCAAATGGGATAGTTGCTATATTTAGATCAGTAATAATAAAGAAAAACATGTACCTTTCTGTTGGGATAACCACTTTGACTATGGCTTGCGACAGAGTCTGTATATGAAGTCACATCAGATAATAAACATAGAATATGTGAGTATTGTTAACAAGTAACAAGCAAAAAATACATATGCATTGAAAATACTACACATCTATCACATGTTTTGCAGGCAATCACTGCTGCAAAGTTATAGACTATGCAATTACATAGCAAATTATTGTGTGTAGTGAACCACAAAAAGTTCACAAATTGCAAATAGGACATTCCAAATAGAATGTACATCAATGCACTGAATAGATACTATACTGGTAACAGCCCATAGGATTAGGCACAGATATCCATGTGTAAACGTAGGGCTTTTACTTTTCTCAATAGCAATTTCCCCTTTACTGCATCAATTGCTATTTTTAACATCTTCAACTTGTGAAACAAGTTACACATGCAGCACAGAAAAGCTATTTTAAAAAAATAAAAGCCTCAATGTACACAGACAAACCCACCACATGCATATGAAGGGGCTTGCCAGATGAAGGCATATACAGAAAATGGAATCATATTTTCTATTTATTAAGTGAGTCCCATGCAAGCTAACATTTGTGGTGTTTCCACCATGTTTATGTGATCAGGGTATGGTATTAAATACTCTAACTTTCCATCCCCTCCTTTCTGGAGACTGACTTCTCCCAGCTTTTATTGTTGGTTTTTACAGCTGTTTAAATCTTTTGAAAGCAGTGATTTGGAATTTTTTGGGAACCTATACAAATCACATCTTTTTGAATCATCAAAGAAGTGCATACACAGCCAGAAAACAGCTGGTAACTGCTTGCAAAACAGTTGCATGAGACTGGAAAAATGCAGTGGCACTTTGATGATTTGGAAAGAGGGGCTTCATATAGCTCCCATGTGTTCCAAAGGAGCTTTTTCAGAGGATCTGATAGCTCTACTGTTTTTAATCACAGTTAAGCATCACACTGAGAGTGGCAATACTTTAAGCTAACCAAGGCTGTGGCTTACCAGATTTCGAATCCTGCTAGGAAACCAGGATTTAGAGAATGCGAAGGGGAACAGTCTGAGAGGTTTTCACCACAATTATTGTCACTGCCCAAGAAACACTTAACTATGTTAAATCCAGCACTAAATTTTTGCAGTCCAAAACTAAAACTTGCCTGAGAAAGGCAAGATGATTAAAAAGAAGGAAGCAATCCTGTAGCTTATTTGTTATATTTGTACTGGCCATTAGTTCTTAACCCTTTCAAACCTAAGAAACTTCATGAAAGTATTAAAACAATGTGATATCACTTGTGTTTAAGAGTTACTTACCATTTGTTTAAAAAAAAATCCTTTAACTATCCTGAAAGTTATTCTCAACAACTGATTTAATGTCTGAAATAGCTTTTTACATAGAAACATGTGAGCTCATCCTAATTAATCAATCTGGCTGAATTTAAATGTAGCCTTTTAAAAGATTAATTTAGAGATTGCAAATCTGGCAGCTAACAAAAGGGGGACAGAGGAGAAAAAAACCAGGGAGTGTGGAGGGGGAAAACACATGGTGGCCAGTTTTAAAAGTGCAATTAAAAACAAAGCCCAATTATGTAGCCCAAATATGACAAGGGAATGAGGCTCCTTAAACTAAGGCAGGGAACATTTAAGCAAAATTCTATCACAGAGTTACAAATGCTATCGTACAGAAGCAAATTCTATCACAGAGTTACAAATGCTATCGTACAGAAGATGTACGGCCCTGGGTAACTTTTTACCTTCTCAAAATCTTCTTTGTTTTTAGGTGGTGGTAACATTGGAGCATTAGGATTCTTCAGTCTCTCTCTGGGCTGAGCATTAAATGGCAGGCCCGAAGGAGGTGGTGGAAGGGTATGTTCCATCATTGAAGGAGGAATATATATAGGATGAGGAGGAATAGGAACAGCTTTGCCCCAGCCTAATTTCATTTCAAAAGACATGATCATCTTGCCTGGGGAAGAAATGTACTGATTTAGAAATGACATTATCAGTGTTTCAATGAAAATAGGTCCTCATATAAAAGCTCACTGTTGTCTACCATATATCATGCAACAGAAACAAATTCAGTCTTAATTTTTAAAGATATCTGTCAAAGGATACTGTACAGGTAGTGCCAAGTTATGACCAAAATTGAGCCCAAAATTTATGTTGTAAGTGAAACATTTATTAAATGAGTTTGCCCTATTTTATGAATTTTCTAGCCACAGTTAATAAGTGAATTGTTGCATTTATTAAGTTAGTAACACGGCTAAGTGAATCTGGATTCCCCATTGCTCATCAAAAGGCTGCAAAAGCTGATCACATGACCCTGGGATACTGAAACCATCATAAATATGAATCAGTTGCCAAGCATCTGAATTTTGATCATATGACCGTGGGGATGCTGCAATGAGTATGAAAGTATGAAAAATGGTTATAAATCACTTTTTTCAGTGCCACTGTAACTTTGAACTGTTGTAAGTCAAGGAGTACTTGGAGTAATTAAACACTACAACTTCCAAAGATCAGTTCTCACATAAAGATATTTTATCGAATGTAAAAATGGACATAGGACTTTGTTGACATGCCGCAAATACATGATTGCAATAACTGGATTTCAAATCATTCAAATACTATTATTAGAACTAAATCTGGAGTAGGCATTTTCTTTTCTTCAAAAAAGTAGAAATAAAAATAAGAAACTAAATATGAAATAAATTCCTCTGAGGGAAAAATCCAGTTATATAAATATAGCAGGCAATCTGATAAATTAATTCATCTACTACCTACCGTGTTTCTCACATAAGGCCGGGCCTTATTTTTTTTTGACCCCCGAAAAAACGGCTAGGACGTCTTTTCGGGGGGTGACTTAATTCTCCCCCCTTGCATCCTCGGGTGGGTGGGCGGGCGGCGACAGCTTGGATATTCGGGAGATCTTCGGGTTCGGGCCACCGTTGCTTTCCCTTCTCCCTTGCTGCTGCGGCGTTTGGCGCAGCCACGTGCGGCCAGTCAGGGCTCCTCCCTGCAACCGGAGCCCTGAGGAGACACTTGGCTTCAGGCGCTCCCGTCTTCCCTTTGCTTTCGAAGGTAAAGCGAATTATTTTACAAAGCCTCCCTTGCCCGAGAGGGCAGCCCAACCCCACGTGGGGAGGCTAATCTCCCGGGGCCTCTTCCGTTCCTCCCCGACCTCCCTACGCTGCGCGCCTCTGACGCGCAGCTCCCTTCAGCCCAGCGAGCTCTTCCACCTCAAAGAAAGGCCAGGTGGGCGGCTGCGGAGCAGCAGCAGCGGGTCTGAGCCGCTCGCAGCGGAAACAGCCACCACCCGTAGCCCGACGCGGGGAGAACGAGCGAGGTTAGCGCCCGCCAGCCCGGGCGAGATTTGGGAACGAGGGGCAGGAGGAGGCACGCACACACCCGCGGCTCACTTTCCCAGCTTTGCCCAGCCCTTACGGCTCTGGCACGGCCCTGGCAGGATGAGCAGAGGGTCCGGCGGGGAGGCACTCGCTGCCCGCCAGAGCCGTAAGGGCTGGGCAAAGCTGGGAAAGTGAGCCGCGGGTGTGTGCGTGCCTCCTCCTGCCCCTCATTCCCAAATCTCGCCCAGGCTGGCGGGCGCTAACCTCGCTCGTTCTCCCCGCGTCGGGCTACGGGTGGTGGCTGTTTCTGCTGCGAGCGGCTCAGACCCGCTGCTGCTGCTCTGTAGCCGCCCGCCTGGTCTTTCTTTGAGGTGGAAGAGCTCGCTGGGCTGAAGGGAGCGGCGCGTCAGAGGCGCGCAGCGTAGGGAGGTCGGGGAGAAACGGAAGAGGCCCCGGGAGATTAGCCTCCCCACGTGGGGTTGGGCTGCCCTCTCGGGCAGGGGAGGCTTTGTAAAATAATTCGCTTTACCTTCGAAAGCAAAGGGAAGACGGGAGCACCTGAAGCCAAGTGTCTCCTCAGGGCTCCGGTTGCAGGGAGGAGCCCTGACTGGCCGCACGTGGCTGCGCCAAACGCCGCGGCAGCAAGGGAGAAGGGGCAGCAAGGGAGAAGGGAGAAGCAACGGTGGAAGGTCTCCCGATATGAAGTGCCCCACCAACGCAGGCAGCACCATATCCGGGCATGCAACAAAAGTACTTACTAATGGCAAGCCCCCCCCCCCCCGCTCTCCCCCCCCATTTCGCATGTTTAATATGGGGCTTAATTTGGGGGGAGGGGCTTAATTTGATTTTATGCCAATAAAACATGGTGGGGCTTCCTATTGGTGGAGGCCGTATTGTTGGAGAAACACGGTACTAATTTATTAAGTTCAAAATTCTGAAAAGGTAAGGACTATCTTTACTTAAGGTTTTCATAACAAAGCAGAGATAAGTAAGTAAACCTTCCCCACACAATGATTTTCACTGCAACATCTTGCCTCACTCAATGTCCCTCCTGATATCTTATATAGGCAATTAATTTCAATCCTTTAGTACCATTTAAATTCTTTAGTGCACGTTCAGCATCTCTCCTATTCATGAAGGCAACAAATCCACAATTCCTTTCTCTTGCTCTTTCTTCATCAGTCCTTGGCCACATAATTTTCACACTTGCCAAAGGCCCAAAACGTCCAAATTCTTGGCATAACATCTCTTCATTCATCTAGAAACAGAAAAGAGAATGAGGTATTTCTCAAAAGAGTGCATCTCCTATATTATGTGGGTACAACAGGGGAAAAAAATTGAAACAATTTTAATAGAGTGGTGTGATAAAAAGCATCACAAGATCCAGAGATACGGTATTGATTTGTTCTCACTGCAATAAAACATGGTTCATAATCCAATAGTGCTCAATAGCTTTGGGGTCAGTCTCAATTCTTAGAAGCAATTGGGAAAGCTGCCTACATAGAAAATGGCTTCTATAACTGACAGGCCTAGTCACACACACACTCCGGTACAATGAATAAGCCCCATCAATACAACTATTCTCTATAATTCTATTGGGATCTCTATTATACCCAAATGAATTTCTGCAAATGAACTTGAAGCTACAGTGTAGTGCTTCGGTTTAGAACATGGAAAATTGTTAATTCTATACAGTTGTGATAGATAACCTTTTTAGGGGAAGAAGTGGCAGAACCTGAGGATGGAGTTAAAAGAAGGATCAGCCTGGAATCTTTACATAGCCATAAACAGACTAAGTCTAAAACCCCTAGAATTTCTTAAGTAAGTATCCTCATAACATAGCTTCTATCAAAAATATCTATTTATCAAATGGGGACATTGCAAAACCAGATGCTTATGGAAAGATCTCTATTAGGCCAAAGATTTTGCTGCAAATCTACATGTTATTAGAAGCTGTTGTTTTGCAGCACACCAGCTTTCTATTTAATTTCTTACAAGATAAATGTAACCCTAGGCATACATTATATACTTCTGCAATACTGTAGTTAGTAACTAGTTAACTTAAAACAGAGTTGGCACTGAAGTAGATGTGAGAATATGAGTACGGAATGGACTCAGATGGAACGATAGAGGCAAAACAAAAAAGCATGCAGTTAAAGTTAACAGTTAAAAGAATTAGCTGCTCAAGTCAAGGGAGAGAGCAGGAAACAAAACTTCGTTCCTCCATTGTGTAGTTTTCCTTAAGAGATAACTAAATGCTTTTTATATAACGTATTAGAGCAGAAAGAATAAGAAGAGCCTTGTGACAGTATAAAGTCAAGTTGCATCATATCTTTATTGTCTTTGAATTGATGATGTAAAGAAAATTCATGTCTAATCCATAGAAAGTAGGTTACAGATATTCTATAGAAATACTCATTTATCTATCTATCTAATTCAATTTAAAAACTGCAGCCACAACATGCATACTTAGTAGATATAGTTGAAAGCTGGATTAAAATCTTTATTCAACCACTAATTCAAGTGATGATTTTTATATAAAGCATTATCAAAATTCCTTTCCTCTCCAAAATATTTATATGAAGCATTATGGCTAAACATGTACAATATTTGCATACTTATGATACAAACAATTATGTATGGAGTTCATAGCAATGAATATTTTTAAGTACTCTAATTATTACCTGGGGATTAATGTTTCCAAGATACAAATTTGTTGTACTTGGATCTCCAACATCATGTGAACCTGGAGCATAATCATCCAGTACTAAAACAAAGAAAAGAAGATGTAATTCAATGCATCCATTTTAAATTAATGAAGCATATAATCAAGTTGTAAAACTATATTACTACCTGAAGATCTATTTCTTCTTGAAGGTGCATCCACTAAAAGAAAGATCAGATTCTATTTAGTTTCAAGTTTTTGTAGAATTATGATACTGTAATACAATGATTACTTACTGGAACGGCGTTGTCCATCTGAATCTGACTGAGGTGGCTCAAAACGACTTAATCTACCTTTAGTTTTATGTCTTTCATCACGCTCTTCTTGAATTCTGTAAGAGATATTTTATAAAACTAGTAAGCAGCTTCAATTCTAATGGTCATCATTATAATCTAAAAAATTAAATCAAATTGATTTAACTTATTTTACCATTTGAAAACATCTATCCAAGTTTGGAGATAGACTAATTTGGAGTTTGGAAATTGACCACTTTAGAGAACCCTGATGTAAAGAAATTATTTAATCAGGGTTCTTCAAAGTGGTCAATAACAGTCTTCAAGGTTGTAATTGTTATATACACAAAAATGTGAAATCACAGCTGCCAACTGGTTTTGGCCTTTATATACATCGAGTTTTTCCCAAGAACCTAGGATATTGTAATGCATCAATATATGTGCAGATCCAACCAGGGTGGTCTTTTGTAATTGACAGAAAGAAATTTTGTCAATGCTCAGATTTTCTAAGTGCCCTCCAAGATTTTTTGGCATGGCACCCAGTGTGCCAATAACCACTGGAACCACCATGAATAGTTTATCCCATAATCTTTCCATTTTGATTTCCAGATCCTGATACTTTGTGATCTCCAATTCTTTGTCTTCTACTTTACTATCCCCAAATATTCCCACACCAATTATGCATACTTTCTTCTTTATTATTACTATTTATTTGATTTATATTGCCGCCTATTCGCCCATGGCAACTCGAGGTGGCTTACACAATGTAAAATCATATTTAAAACAAAAAATAAAAATAAAAACAATAAGAACTAATAAAAAGAATTAAATAAATTAGTAAAGTACAATAGAACAAAATTTGGGAAAACAAAAAACAAAAAAACAAAAACCAACTCCCACCCCCCACCCTGATGACAGCGGATCACACTAGCCATTTGATGGGTTCCATCCCTTTCTGGGTTCCCCGGGCCCGCTGGCAAAACCAGGTCTTCAGTGCCTTTCAGAATAGTATTAATGAGGGGGCCATTCTAATCTCTGGGGGAATGATGTTCCAGAGAGACGGAGCCACCACAGAGAAGGCCCTTCTAGGTCCCACCAAGTGTATCTCCCTCAGGGGTGGGACCTGCAGCATTCCCTGCCTCCTCACTCTAATGGGTCGGGCAGATGTCACTGGCAAGAGATGTTTCCTCCGAAAACCTGGACCCAAGCCATGAAGGGCTTTAAAGGTGACAACCAGCACCTTGAATTGCACCCGGAAGCAAATTGGCAACCATGCAGCTCCTGCAGGAGAGGTGACACATGTGCACACCGTGGTCTGTATAAAACCACGCGGGCCGCTGCATTTTGAACCAACTGGAGCTTCTGGATGCTCTTCAAGGGCAGCCCTATATAGAGCGCGTTGCAATAATCAAGACAGGAAGTGACCAGGGCATGAGTGACTGTGAGTAGGGAGCGCTGATCCAGGAAAGGGCATAACTGGTGCACAACCCATAGTTGCGCAAAGGCCCTCCTAGCCACAACCACCACCTGCTCTTCGAACAGGAGTCGTGAGTCCAGGAAAACCCCTAGATTACACACAGGGTCTGTTTGGGGTACTGCCACCCCATCCAAGACTAAAGGTGGTAATTCTACCTGAACCAATGAACCCCAGACCCAGAGCCACTCGGTCTTGCAAGGGTTTAGTTTTAACCTGTTGCTTCCCATCCAGCCTCTAACAGCCTCCAGGCACTGCGAGAGGGAGGACACAGCAACACTTAACTCACCACAGGCCGAGACATACAGCTGAGTATCATCAGCATATTGGTGATACCTCAGTCCATGGTGACCCAGCAGTTTCATATAAAAGTTGAACAGGAGTGGAGAGAGTACTGAGCCCCGTAAAGCAGTGGGCGAGGGTTGGATCTCTCCCCTCCTATCAACACTGACTGAAAGCGGCTGCAGAGGAAGGAAGTGAACCAAGACAGCACAAGGCCTCCCACTCCCATCCTCCAAAGCCGTCCCAGGAGAATCCTATGGTCAGTGGTATCAAAAGCCGCTGAGAGGTCAAGTAGAGCAAGGATAGATGCACTACCCCCATCCTGCTCCCGCCATTTATATTACTGTTTGTCAAAATAGTATTTATTAAATTATTTTCATGTAATAAATATTTGGTGATTGATGAACAATCTGAAACTTCATAAAAGTGCTGATGACCTGAAGAGTTTGAGGATGCAGATTTAAGCCATGGATAAAGATATCTCAAAGAAACAAAATATTACTACTCACTATAAAAACTTCCTTTCAGTTTGAGATACCCACTACAAATTATGTCTCCCCTTTACTGCTTGGCAGGCTGAATTATATTGTAACTTAGATGAAAGTATTGCTGTCTTATCCAATCTGACAGCTGAGCTTGAGGCAGAAAAATAATTTGCATCATTAGACAGTTGTAAAAATAGAAAATACACTTTTTGAGAGTAACCCTAAGATGGTAAAAATTGAAAATGTCACTAAGTACTCACTAAAAATACAGCACTATATAGCATTTTTTTTAAACAAAAAAAACTGCCCGGGAATTAAGACTCACAAAGCAAACTTCTTTCCAATGGATGTATGTGCAATTACTTGTTCCAAGGAGCTTAGATGGAAGTATAATTTTAAAAATGGGGTGGGATTGTGGTGCAGAAATGATGAGAAGGTTGGTAGAAAAATATTATTAAAGTCTAGAGGACATTCTCTCTTGTGCAGTTTCCTAATTAATAAAACAGTTGTTTATTACCCTTCAGATATATGAGATTATTAAAAATGTCATTTTGAGAGCAGAAAGATATAAGCTGGAAGTTTTAAAAGATGGCTTTCTAAAGAATCAAAGAAAGCATCAAAGTAAGAAAAGCCCTATCAGGATCGGCCTAATATCAGAGCTGGACAAAAAATCTATCTAGACGAGTAGCCTGAATAATACAAAATAATACAAAACAGCAGACAGACGCCTGATAGTAGAGCACATAATATTTGAGACATTTCAAAAAAAAATTCCCTCCATATAACTTTTTACCTTTGTGCAATCTTTTTGTTTTTCCTACTCCAATTAATGAACCTTTTGCAAGGGATTTTAGAGATCTAGTACATCTTTCTATGCTAGAACTATATCAGTAGTTCATTCAGGAAATAATTTTAAGATGGCTATGTATTACACACTGAATTTGAGACAGATTAAATTGAAATCCATAAAACCACATATTATTCATCCCCATTCTTAGATACCATATTTTTAGCTGTTTAATACAAATATTATTGATTCTGAAGAAACCATAATCCCAAGTAAATAAAGGATAACTGTATCAATAAGGCAATGACTGCTACTAGATCACTGTACATTCAGCATAAAGTTTTGAAAAAGAGCCTGTAAGTGCTGCCTATTGAACACACTGTAATGCAAACAACTTCAGTTATTTTCATGAAGAATCTGGGGATTAAGAGTAAGATTCCTCCAAGAACCACTACTGAAATATTAAAAGATGCTTAGGCTTGTGTCTGGGGTTTGAAAAGTCTGATACCTTATTCCCATAAGGAGAATTATATGAACTAGAGGGAGAAAACTGCCAGTCTTCTCCAAAGGATTCTTGATTACTTTTCAAGTAATTAAGTTCTCCTGAAATAACAATTATTTTATTTTCTGCATAGAACCAGTGAGAAAAAGTGAAACTCACAATAAGGGACTTGCTAAGAAAAAAATATTTTGGAAAATTCTTCTTATATGTGGAGATTTGGGGAATTAGTAAAATGTCAAAACTTCTTTGGAGATCACAGAAAGTTCTATCAGGGCTAGATAATCTTCCTACATCATCTGATGGATTTGTTATAGGACAGAGAAATATTTTGAATTTGAGTTAGAATTTGTACTCTGGAAGTGATAGTCTTTTTGAAGATCTTTGAAGCTTGTCTATAAATTTTGAAGGAAATGGAACTAAATTTGCAATCCAATACTCACAATGAGCACAGCTTGATTCCACTAATTAAAAGATAATTAAAAGATTCCACTAATTAAAAGATCAGCTGCAGCTGATTTCTTAATAATCAAGTAGAGATGCTTTGAGCAACCTCTTATCATACTTGCTACCTAATTATTTGATTTTTTTGTTTTCTATAAGTGCATTTGCCCATTAATGCCATTGTCCATTGCTGAAGCAAAAAGAACTAAAGAAAAACCGAGACATGGAAGACAAAGAAACAGTTGTTTTTCACTCCCAAAATGAACATATTATCAAAAAAATCCTTTACATACACCAAAAATAATCTACTTTTGCAACTATTTTGATTATCCCTATTTAATTTAATCTATGAATAAAATACTCACTGTTTTAGTTCTTCTTTAAAAAGCTCCAAATTGCTCTTTTTCTTTTCTTTTTCCCCCTTCTTCAAAGGCTGAAACAATTCAAAAACTATTTAATTATGTACACGATTACTACTTTAAAATTTCTATCAGTATAAGTTATTTAAATGGATTGAAAATCCATTCTGAAAAAAGGAAGGGGTAAGAAAATATATACGTAAAAGTAATACAGTTAAAACTGTATTATTAAGCTTATTAAGTTGCTGCACCCATTTATTGCAAATATACAAATGCCAAGGCAATATCAAAAATCAACATTCAATAATCAAAATCCTTTCCTTCCACCACTATCAATCTACATATACCATAGAGCAGTGGTTGCCAACCGGTGGGCCGCGGACCACTGGTGGGCCATGGAAAAAATTTGGTGGTCCACAGAAAAATGCCCCCACCCCCCCAAAGGAATTAATTTGGGCCACACAGGAAAACAAGACTGCTCCACCCACATGGCCCGCCCACCCGCTGACTCCCACCCTTCAGCCGAACGCAAATCTTACCTTGAGACTGAGTAGAGAGCCATGCGAGCTGGAACTGGAAGGTAAGACCAACGGCGGGGGAGGGAAATCCGCCCCGGGGTGGCTTGCTGACGTTGGTGGGAAAGTTGGTCCCATATTCCAGAGCTGTAGTAATCACAGGACTGGTCCTTTGGTCATCCCGGAGCAGCTCCTCCACTGGGATGACTACAGCTCTGGAATATGGGACCGGCCCATGGTGGCTGGAATGAGGTAATGGTGCTGTTATGGGGGGGGGCACAAGCTGGCCGAAGTGGTGGTGGCTGGAAGAAGCGCTACTCACATTTGCATCTCCCTTCGCTGCGGTATATTTGCGGCAGCTGGTGGCGCCAAGGCAGCCCTTCGTGTCCTGCCGCGTCTGTAGTGCAGAGAGAAGCAGCCGGAGTCAACCCTAGCTCTGCTGACGCTAAATCACCCCCCTGCAAACTGTTGTCTCTCTCACTGAAGCGGCGCCAGAAACTTCGGCTAGGGTCTCGAGAGACGAGAGTGACTCCGGCTGCTTCTCTCGTCTCTCTCAAGGAGTGCTCGACAGCTTGGCTAGAGGGGGAGTCTCTCTCATCCCCCAGCAGGCTCTGCGAGGTGGGGGGTGGGGAAGCAGCACTTGGGAGAAGCGGATCGGCCATTGCCGGGCTCCAGGGCAGGTTTCTCTCCTGAGGGTGCAGCTGTTGGGTGGGGAGGAAGCGGCGCCCAGCTCACCTCCCAGGGCAGGAGAGGCGAGGAGCAGCAGATGTGGGGATGGAAGGCTGATGGAGGAAAGCAACTGTCCTCTTTGGGGGGGTGAAGGTGCCAGCCTCCCCCCCTTTCCTTGCCTGCCTCCAGGTGAGGCTGGAAGAGCCCCGGCATTACCATCCTGGAGCTTTTCCTCACCCACAGATCTGAGCTCTCTCAATCCTCCTCCCCCAGGATCTGAAAGGAGCCCCCACTTTCTCCCCCCCTCCCCCCAATTAATGAGGGCGGCAGTCCTTCTGCAGGCAGCTGCCTGCTGAGAAGCCCCTGGAGGGGCAGTGGAGGGACTCTGCCCCCAAAGGAGAGTAAAACTCCCTTTCTGCCTCTGCTTCTCATAGCGGAAGTTGCCCTGAGGCCCCTCAGCTCAACCCCCCCCCAGCCCGCCCTTGTCTTATGGTTTTGTTATAATTAAATAAGCATTTTTATATTAAATATATATACTTATATTAAAATATTTTTAATATTAAGTTTATATTAAAATTTTTATATTAAATATATTATCTTTTTTTTAAAATTCATATTATTGTTCCTTGGGATTTAAAAATATGAGTTTGGTGGTCCCTGAGGTCCAAAAGGTTGGCGACCCCTGCCATAGAGCAAAACATTTTGAACCAAGCTACATGAAATGGCCTAATTTACAGAATGCATCCAAAATCCAAGGTCCATGATTCCCATGGAATTAATATTGGTGAATTTTGCAAAACATTTTATAATATAAATATTATCATAAAAGAGTTTATGACATAATACAAAATACCCTAAAAGATTTCCTGTGCTGATATTTGACTCTGCTGTACAGTTCAACATAGACTATTTTTAAGGCAGATATGTCTGAATGTATCCCAACTTTTTCAATGAAGGCAGTACATTAGAAGTTCTGCCACTGTTGAAAACATAGAATCTGGTAAATAAATGTTCTTGAAAAGGTGACCCTCTGAAAGGAGGCACACATTGTCTAGTATATGACTAAAACTCTCAGGTCTGTAATCTTTAACTAGGCAAAACAGTGCACATCATAGGGCAAAATATTTTCAATTCAGATTCTTCAAACAGAAGAATTCTTCCAAAATCTGGAACCTATGACTCCTACTTGGCAAATTTTATAAACTATTTTTTTACCAAAAATTACCATAATTATCATAATTATCATTATAACATAATACAAAATGTCATAAAATATTTCCTGATGTTTGACTGTGCTTCAACACTTCAACATGGTTATTTGGTCACATCTCTGAATATTTCACTGAACTTTTAAAAAACTTTTCCAGTACATTAAAAGTTCTGCCATTGTTCAAAACTTTCAGATCTGTAACCATTAATTGGGTGAAACAATGCATCATAGGGCAACAATTTTTGAACCTAGGTAGCAAAAGTGCGCTAATTTATAGAATGCATCCAAAATCTGGAACCCATGACTTCCAAGGAATTAAAATATATTGGTTATTTATTTAACTAGGACTGAAAATTAGCTGAATAAAAGGAATTCAGATCTAAATTTTGTTTTGGCTAGCAGCCAGAACTATCCAGAATTATCCCTTTATTTTTGGTAAAAGGGCAAAATCAGCCAATTCCTACAGAAGCCTTTTTTTCCAGAAAATATAGTTTATCTTTATAACAACTAGAATGATTGCATAGACTTTCTATATCTTACTAATAATGTTTTAAAAAATTAAAGGCAACAGGTAGTTAGATTATGGACCATTTCATTGTTAATGTCAAGTCACTGGTTGACACGATAAGAATTTTCATATGGAAACCCAGTTCGGCGTGATAGTTAAAGTAGCAGGCTAGAAACTGGGAGACCATGAATGCTAGTCCCACCTTAGGCATGAAGTCAGCTATGAGATCTTGAGCCAGTCACTCTCTCAGCCCTAGAAATAATGCAATGGTGAGTCCCATTTTGCTAAGAAAACTGCAGGGAATAATCCAGGCTATTGACCAGAGCCAACAGAGATTCAAAGGCTCTCTGAGCTTGCTTTGTAAAATTTATCTGAAAAGCACTACATAACTATATAAGTAACCAATAAACGTGAACACGGAAGTAACAAATATTTCTAAAAAATCTAAACTTACTGGTTTTTTGGTTTCTATCACTAGAAGAGATGGCGGTCTCTCATTAGAAGATGACTGAGTCTGCTGATTTTTTTGATCTGCAAATCGTGATGAAGGCTTGTAGATTTTTCCTCGTTTTTCATCTGTGTCATGTTCTGATGAAACAAACAACATAAAAAATTAAAAAATTAAACAGTACCAAGTTTCAAAAAAGCCAATTTAAGTGGACATACAGGTTTGACCATGTTCAAAGCTGCCCTTTAAAAAAACACCTCTGCTCATATCTTAGTCAAACTTTTAAAATTAATCTATTTACTAGAAAGACCTCTTCCAGGAAAAATTGAGATGATGTGTTCATATAAGAACAATTAACAATATAACAGCACCTTAAGCCCATTACTGTAATCTATCTGAAATACAAATCTGAAGTCACCACAAATTAAGTAAAATTTAATATTTTATTCAAAATAAATCTTTGAATCTAATTTCTTTCCTGGATAATATTGTAAGAAGCCTTACCTTTAGAGGCATTAACAATACCTCCTCTAACAAATGTTTTTACTTTATTGCCATCACTTCCTTCAAATGCAGCAAGGAATTCTTCATATATTTCTGCAGCTGCCTTTTCATCCTCCTATAGTAACCGAAATGTTACACAAATTATCAGCATTAATGAAGCCATCAGCAACATCCAGCTTCCTACCCATAACTTATTCCAGACATCTGCAGGAACCTATGAGCAACACTAAGTTTTCAAATAATACAAGTAGCTGCATGGAAAAGACTACTTTTATCAAATATATTTCTAAGGCTTCATTTAATTTTCAAATGTTGCCCCTAAGGAGCGTGCTTGCCTTGAACATTTTTCCTTTGAATTTAAATAAAAGAAGCATTTGTGACTTGTAAAGGAGTCTAATGAAAATAATGTGCCACTAAGGTTTGAGTTTATTTGAGTTTAACATTTAAACAATATTCAATGTGCTTAATACAATCAATATGCTTATTTCTCCTAATCAAATACTTTATTTCAACTCTCTACAAATATGAACATGGCATGTTATCATTTGCTAAATTTAAATCAAAACAAACTTGGTTCCCAGGAAATTTGTTCCAATTCAAGGTTTTTCATGACTACACTACTGAGAATAAATAATATGATAATGAATTAGAACATGTAATCTTCCCATTCAAGCATATTGCAATCTGAAGATAAAACTTGAATTGGTCCACTTTAGGGTAAGTATATCACAAACTATTTAACTAGCTAATAATAAATATACTGATACAGTACATATTTTATCTCCTAGCAGTTAGATTCAATAATTTTGACAATCTTAACTCAGTTTTAAAAATAAACCCTTTAGATTCATTTTAACCAAAATCAGAAACAAGCATAGCAATTGTTTTCCTCTCAACTCTCCCTTTTAAAGCAGTGAGATACTTATATTGTACAACTGTCTCTAAAATCCAACTTTAGTGTGCTTCAATGCACTTCCCATAGCAATTTTTGGAGGGACAATACAAAAAAATACCGTATGAGCCACCATCTCACTCCACTGGGATCGACCCGTCCAATTGTGCCGGCAGAGGCATGCTGCTGGTCCTGTCTGCCCAATTATTCCAGCTGGTGAGGTCCAAGAGGAAATTGCTCCTGCCCTCTGGAATACCTTGCCCCCTCATGTGAGGTTGGCATCAACCCTCCTATCCTTTTTTAAGGGCCTAAAGACATGACTCTGCCAATTGGCTTGGGACCCCAGTGGGGTAACAGCATAGTGCAGGTAGCTGATCAAATAATAATAGATTCTACCTCCTCCAACTTCACTTCTGCTCTCCCCATGTATCCTTAGGTTTTAATGTCTGATTTTAATTATTTATGTTTAATTGTGTATGTATACACATATTTTTACAACTGTAAGCCACCCAGAGTTATCCTATGGTAAGATGGGAGGCCAATACATTTTATAAACAAATAAAATAAATTGTGCCCCTGTGGACAGGGTCCATTGAAACTGCAGTCATGTCCTCCTATGTGGTATCTTCTATAAGGACTCATGGACTCAGTTTATAATACCTCATCTAATAAAATGCGCAGGAGATGCTGATCTCTTTTATGTACAACTTCTGTTATAACAGTACAAAGTACTTTCTTTGAATGTGGCCAAATTTTGTTATATTGTATGCAAAATAAGGCAGACCCTAATGCCCACTAATAGTCCATCACTAATCGTGATATATTATTTTTTTAAATTTTATTTTATTATTGTTGCTGTTTTTAATGCTTTTATTTGTAACACTGGTCTGTGACTATAATAAAAATTCACTTTTCTCTCAACAAAAGGGAGAAAATTTGAAAGGAAAGGAAACAGAACATATTTCCCAAAGACAATCCATGCTCTTATAAAATCTTCCTTTTCCTTTTTTTTTGGGGGGGGGGGGGGGACTACATAATAAAGTGTTTTTACTGATAATAGTCTAGGAAGAAAAACAATAAGTAAATTTTTCTATTGCTCTCTGCTATCGTGCCACACATATACTCAGCCAGATAAGATGTTCTTTCTAAATGACAACAAACTCTGAGATTACAAACATACTGTAGTTTTTCATAACTTTCTCAAAGGAAAATGAGGCTGTTGCTAAGCTGGCAAAAGGAGAAGACAGCTGGATATTTAAAGAAAGTATTATGGGAAGAAGGAGAAAGAAAGATGGAAGTATTGCAACTAGCAGACCAATATAGATTCTGTCAAGGACGCTATTTCAGAACACAAGTAGTTTAGTCTAGGAATGCTTGGCAATAATATTCCAATCTCCATGGATTTAACTTTGCTTCATAGATTTATTGTCGTTTCTTAGCTGTTGATCAGTAAGAAAGGTGGAAGAGCTAATGTGCTTTAATGAAAAATTATTTAAAACCCAATCTTACTTTGCTGCATTGATAAAAAAATTCTAAGAGATGACTTGTCAAATTCCTTGTCATAATTACCTTCTTTTTCAATTCCTCCTGTTCCTTTTTGCTTAATGTTCTCTTGGCAGTGCTCATTTTGCCAATACTGAATGCCTTGAGTTTGTTTTCTAAGAGTGGCTGAAAGAGAGACAAATATTAGCAGGTTCATAATAATACAATTTTACCACCTGAACCAAAATTCTTCTGTTATTCGAATAAGATACATGTTGTCAATGTTATTACAAACACGAAAATGAGTTTTTTTGTAGTCTCGTATGAAAACAAAAGTTACTTTTTATCACCACTATGTGTAAGTGGTGACTGCAGTTGCTAAATGAGGACTACCTCTACACTTCCTTCCACAGAATGTCTTTGCATGCCACTAAGAAACCCTGCGTTGCAGGGAAAATCAAATTATTTTGCTTTTATCCTAATAATGACCGTTGCTGGTTAACGTAAGATTCAACATTTCTTCAAAACATCTTAAATGCACAATCTATCACATGATAACCATGGATGTTAGATTGGGCAGACAGAAAGTAAGACACCCAGTCAACCAATGAACTTCTATGGCTTTAATATGAACTAAAACCTGGCACTTCCAGTCCTGGTCAGATTAATACCTTCCCACTTCATCTCATGTGTTCAAACATAAAAGATAGCTACAGTTAGTGGTTTGTTTTCTTAAGTTTTCGCGGGTACTTACATGTATGGTATTCAGCTTTGTTCGGGTATTTTCCCACGTCATTATAGTTGTGCTTTTAAAGTTGTAGCAACGTTTCGGCAGAATCTCATCTGCCATCATCAGGCTTCTGTATTGTGTTCGTCTGTGAGTTAGACTTTTACAGTTGTTTCAGTTTTAAATTTGGGGCTAGCCTACTGCTGTGCCAGAATGGTTTTTCTTCATCCTGATTGGTTGGGAGTCTTGGTCTGTGTTTATTGGTCTTGGAGTTTGCTGTGTTCTGCTTGATTGGTGTTTCTAATATATTCTGACTGTTTTGTGGCTTTTTTTGTCTTGGTTGGCTGGCAACATTGTGTTCCTGTATTGGAGGCTTTTAGTGCAGCTTGGCTCCGAATAAATGGACGGCTATCATTTGTTAGGAAGCTAGGTTTCATCTGGGTGTCTGGTTGGGGTGTGTTTGAGCTGGAGGTATCAGGGGGGATCTGTTTGTGCCCAGGTGTTTGCCTGGCTTGTAGTGTGGGGATTTTTTTGTTTGTGAGTGCAGGCTTCCAAATAATTGACAGTCTGGTGGAATTGTTAGTGGTTAGTTTATATAATCAGCTGAGTACTCTTTGACCTGGTCTGGCTATATAATTTATAAGTAATTTTGAATTCAGCATAGACATGGGTGCACAGAAGGCCCAAGTATGCCTTTTTTTTTTTTACTTGAGGCGGATATAACAATAGCAAATCATTATTCTAGGACATCTCCCTTACCATCATGCACATTCTAATAAGTAGTCTTTCATTTGGATTATACTGTATTCCATACAGAGCTGTCTGTGAAAATGGTATGCAAGACTGAGTAATTGCAAATCAGGAAAAAATACTCTAGGTAACCTGATCCAAATTATACAGGGTTTTAAAAGTTAATATAATCTTCAGAGCAAGCTAGAGGTCTTCACCAAATGTGAAGTCACACACTTTTTAAAAATATATATTTCTCTTGTGTATCTTGGAGTGACATGAAATTGAAAATGTCTAAATGTGTATGTCCAGCCAGATTATGTAGGTGTTTCCTTCAACAAGAAAACCACTCTTTTCACACTATTTCTTAGTATATTTGAGTATTTTACTTCGTTGACCATTGGTTGTAATGTTTTTTTTTCTTTAAATTTTTATGATTACTTTTAGATAATCACTTTTATTGGTTGTTTTATATTTTTATATTTTATAAAACTATCAACGTGGTGCAATAATTTTACTTGAACCTTTATAGTTTTTAATGATTGATTTTTATGCATAGTATGCATAGTATGATTGAAATAATTAATCAAAGTTTATTATTAAAGATAAGTGGTATAGAACTAACATTCTACCTAAACTGACTGGTATAACTGCTTCTAAAATAAACCCACATAAAAAAGTTAATAGCTTATATGTATATGTCAGTGTAAATCCACCGCAGAAGCAGAATTTCCATTTAGACTATAAACTTACCGGAGGCTCTGGAGATCCAGTGGACCGTGTTGTATCTGTAACTCTGGCCTAAACATGGCAGAAATACAACAATCATCATCAGGAACATTTACTATTTTTATATAGGTCTTCATTATAACTGACCTCCAATATTAATCAAAATTTATAAGACTTTACAATTTTCTAATTATTATATTTATTATATTAGTATATAATTATCCAATTATAATTATTCTGAAATTTCAACTCAGATTTCTACAATTCTCCAATTGATATAAAACTTGTACTGTACTGTTAAATAAAGGACTTTATTCTTCTTCTAAGAATATGAAGCAGCAGCTTGAAGATGACTAATTTGTTATCAGCTTGTGAAATTATAAACTGTTTCAAGTACTGGAGTTTTTTTTTTCCAAAAAGGAAGATGACCCTATAATTCCCCTATGAACTGAAAGTCTTACATTTGCTCAGAATGTAAAAGAAATCACTTTTCTTTTATTTTTCTTATATGTATCCATGTATTCATAACTATGTTTTTACTTATACCTATTATCTTGTAAGCAATTAACAAACCAAATAAAAAATAAATAAACCCTGAAAGTGCTTCACTTAATTCAATTCATAATACTATATTCATGCTAAAATTTGAATAACTTAGATTTTCCTTCTAATTTTAAAGAGAATTAAACAATTGGAAGTTCAAGCAGGGAGGATTAAAATACATTTTTCTTTTATATATATTTTATTGGAATTTTTCACAATAGTAAAATATTAAAAAATGAGCAGGATTAAAAAAAGAGAAAAAAGTATTTTTTAAAGAAAAAAGAAAAACCATGGCCTTCTGCCATTCTTTCTATCATCTTAAACTCTTCATCCCTCTTTATTCCCAAATTTCCCAAAACATCAATTAATATTTTCTTCTTTGAACAAAAGGTCCATATAAACTTCTCATTTTTTGAAAAGTGTCATTTTTTTTCTCTGACCAAAAATTGTTTGCCATTTCTGCATTTTCAGTTGATTTTCTAAACCAATCTTCCACTGTAGGCATTTTATTGCTTTTCCAACTTTTGGTATATAATAATCTTGCTGCAATTACTATAAACCTTATCTGACAGAACACATTATGTTGCATTATAGTTTAACTTGTTGGCCAAATCCAAATGACAGTTCAGACTACAGTTATAGAATCTCAGAGCTGGAAGAGTTCAGAGGCCACTGAGTTCAACTCCCTGTTATTGCAGGAATGCAAATTAAAGCATCTTAATAGATGGCTGTCTAGTCTCAATAAAGGAAACTGACTATCACTAATTACTTTTACTGTCAAAATATTCCTAGGAATGTTTTTCTAACATCCAACTGGAATTTGCTTTCTTATAATCCATTTTTTTTTGTCCTGCACTCTGAGCAAACGAGAGTTCACATAAAGAATGGTGGATTCCCAATGATTCTGGGTGTTTTACAAAACTGAAGCAATGCATTTAAAGAACAAATTATATATATCAGAAGTATAAAATTTCTAAATAAATATCTTATTTTTTAAAAGTCTGCTACTTCTTTGATAGCCGTCATCCAAAGTTTGGCAGCAACCTTGCCATCTCCATTAGTCATGAGGAGTTAATATTTAAAATAAAATCTTCTTGATATAGGCAGTCCTTCAGGTCTGAAAAAGATATGCTATTGTGCAGTTCATCTATGGACACAGAGATGGCTCTGCAGTCCTGACTAGAAGCACAGAGTCTAATACAATGGGGGCACTAGAAGTCCATTTTATAACATATATAACATTATAACAAGTATTCTATGATGCTACCCAAGGTTTCCTACTAGTTTTTGGAAGCTCCTGTCTTCAAAACCAGCAGAAACTTCATAGCACTAGCCTTGCCAGTGGAATCTGTCAGTAATTATCACATCTGGTTCCTTTGGCTATATGTCACAATGGCATTCACAGCATCTTTGTAGCACTTGTGTGGACAACTACGAGGTCTCTTTCCAGTTCCAGTACAACAGAGCAACTGGCAACACATATTGTGGCTGTCCATTCTGATGATATGTCCCAGCTATTTCATCTGGGCTCTGATAATTAGAGATTCAATGCTATTGAGTTTTTCATGCAATCCAAGACATCTAGGTTGAAATGACAACCTTGCCAAAGAATGCCAAGGATAGAGCCGAGAGCACATATGAGAAATTTCTCTAGTTCTTTAATGCATCTTGGGTTTAAAGTCTAGGACTCATATCCAACTAAGTAGAAATGGATAACCACAGCTCTATAAATGTTCAGCTTTGTGGATATATGGTCTTTGTATTGACTGAGCACTCCAGCCTGCAGCCATCCGGATCAACAGAGCCTTGTTGATCCTGTAACCAATCGCTTTGCCTAAAAATCATTCAAGATGATACTTCCCAAATATTTGTTTACATTTGTCAGCAATGATTTTTGGTTCTCCAGGGTTAGTATTTGGCATGGGCTGATAAAGTACTTTAGTCCAGGGGTCCCCAACCTGGGCAAGTGTACTTGCGCATGCAGTTTCACTTACAAGCAGTGCAAATGGTGCTATGCCCACCGTTCGCACAAATGGAACTGCACGCACCCCCCACTGCTTGTGTGGCCCAGAACCATCCCTTCTCCCCACCACCACCAACAATCTGCAAAACTGGAAACATCGGGGGCCGCTGCTTTAGTCTTCAAGCTGATAGACTAAAGAGCATGGCAGCATCTGAGATTTCTTCAGTATCAACTGTATATCACTGTCTTTGTGCTGCAGTAATCAGAAAATGTTTACTGAATGAACCATTGAAGAACAAAAATCAAAGAGAAAGCCATCCAATTGGCACCTGATGTACATTGGATGGAAGCTTCAGACCCTATGTAATATGTGACAAATGCAAGCAAATTACAAATTGAACAAGACTGGGGCTAGTATACAGCCTTGCTTCATCCATTGCAAATAACAAAAGCAATGTATGCATTTGTAAAGGATCTGTTCTGTCTTTCCTTGGCAGAATAATTGAATCAACTTCACAAATTTCCTTGGGCATCTCAGGATAACATTTCAGGATGATCCAGAGAGTCACACTGGTTCCTTTCCAAGTCAACGACAAGTCTGTTCAGGAGAATGTGGGCAAAAATATTTCCTGCAATGGACAGTTGTGAGACATTCCTGAAGTTTCACCCACAGAAGTCACCAGACACGATGTCTTGGAATGCCTGCAATGAGTTTGGATTTAGTGCTTTGTAGATCTCGGTGAGAATGTCATTTGGCCCTGTTGTTTTGTATTATATCCCACCTTTATTATTTTTACAAATAAGGCAGAGGATATATCCAAGACACCTTCATCCTATTTTCCTCAACAACAATCCTGTGAGATGGGTTGGGCTGAGGGGTAGTGACTGGAACAAAGTCACTCAGCTGGCTTCCATGGCCAAGGCAGGACTGGAACTCACAATCTCCTGCTTTCTAACCACTAGACCAAACTGAGTTAATCTATGAGAGCTTTTTTGAACTCATCGGTAGAGGGAGGCAGGTCTAGGGCATTCAAGATCAACAGCTGAGGAATCTGCATTAAGACACCAGGATCAGCTGTGGATATTCTATCAGGTAGGCTGGAAAACCCTTCACTCCAGTGGTTTTTCAGTCCATCCTGGTCTTTAATTCACCTTGACCCATTTGATGACAGCAGGGGGAGCATATTATTTTACAAGGAACATAAAAACTGCATTTAAGGTGCTGAAGAACTTTCAGGTGGCATATATATCTGCAGAGGGATCCACCTACTCAACTTTTCTTGCCATCACTCACCTTGCATTTCTCACTGTTCTATCTGTGCTTTGAATTGCAGATGTTTAAAATTGTATAAGTTTCAAATAGATAATGGATCATTCTGCCAGTCTGCATCGGCCTTATTCTGCTTGATATTATTTTATATATAGGACAGATTAGATCCTGGTGAGTACTACATAAACAGTACAAACTAGAACAGGGTCCATCAACTATTTTTTACTATGTTAAAAACAAAATCTTTGTGCAATCCCACACAAACAAATCTATGTTTCAGCTTATATGATGGTGAGACATTAAATTTAGCTTCAGTAAAAGGAGTCCAGTATTCATAATGGATAAGATTTACATTAGATGCCATGTAGAAGGCTGTAACACTGAAGTTTCATAATGAACATGGTGATTTAATCTGATCTATTAATTCCTGAAAAGAAACATTCCATATTTCACTAAGCAAAGATTAGTGATAAAAGCAGCACATTTATAGTCCTTTTAAAATAAATCATCTGGCAACAGACCAGCCTGGAAACTTTGAACTGTTAAAATAGTCCAATTGCTGGTAAACCTCTCATTCATGATTTCCAACAGTAATTCACTTGTACTTTCAAAACAAATGTTAAGCCATAATATTGACTGCAGATAGCCAGTACTTTCAAAAAAGCACTGTCCAGTCTCAAGGAGAGCATCTGAGACCCCACCTAGGCAAAAACAAAAAGCAATGGAGGTACAGTAGCTTCAGCTTTCTGGAGTATACATCAATGGGGAAAAAGTCATGATGAATGGCAGAACAGTGCTCCCAAATAGATAAAAAGATTTTAATCCACTGCACTCAATGGTTATGGACAGTCCACCTAACCCTTTTTTCCCCTCAAAACGTTAGATTGTTTTTGATTCTGCTTACTAAATTATCACTAATAATCATGTTATATTGCAATCTTTTAATACCTATGCTATGCTCTATAGCAGCTTTCCCCCAATGGTTTTGTTTAGTACTGCTTTCCAAAATTCCAAGTCAATATGGTCACTGGAATAAAAGATGAGAAGGATGGTACATTGCTGTGCAAACACCTTATTCACTACAATAGTAGGGAAAGCTGGTATAGTTTATATTGTTCTCTCAAATTATTAAAGATAAGCAAAAAAAAAAAATCTTAAAATTTCACAGCCAAGAGTGAGTGAAAAAATTAAAGCAAGGCAATGTTTTTTAATTAATTTATGTTTCAAAAGTTGCAACATGTGTATTACATTTTGATACATTTCCATGGAATTCAATATTACTGATACTTAATTCTGAAGGGTTGAGTTGAGTTTTTAGAGTTTAATTCAGACTATGTATTCGTGACAAATGAATACAATATTTTTATTTCTTCATCAGTACCAGTGATACAACATGTTTTGTTTCCCTGATCTTGTAGGGAAAATATTCTTTAAAAATTTAATATACATCATCCCAATAAAACGGTTGCCACATGTGAAAGAAAATATCAGAATGAGATAACTACACTAGTTAATTACAATGTACAGTAGCTTATGTTTCTAAGTGTGCTATGAGTAATTGGTAAAGGTTTCTAGATACATCACAAGATTAACATCAAAGTCAAATGTTCCAATTATTTATCAATCAACTCTAACCACTCCTCTCACGAGATGTATTTTCTCACTTCTCATTTAGATTCTACATTTTAGAGGGTCCAAAAATTGAAATTCTGAATGACTTAGCTGCTTACTCAAGTCAGAAATAAGTTATCTTAGCTGCACTGTTTTTGCCTGCAAATGTGATCATGGCAAAAACCCCAACTTTATAGTTCTAAATATAAACCCAACATTATAGTTCTAAATATAAAAACACAGGAAATAGGTATTATAGCAACCATCTGTATAGGAATTAAGGAAAGTATCTCCCCCACACCTACAATACATGTATAATCACAATTGCACTTTCTTCCTGAACAGGTAGCAAATATACAACACTCTTGTTCTACATGAAGCCTTCCACAGCGACAAACTATCTTCCATGAAGCAGGCTTAATAGTAGCACAGCTGTTTCATTTAGTATATTTATTTCAGTTAGTCATAACAATTGCATTCAAAAACCACTAGCAGAGATACCTTTTAATAAAAACAATACTGGGGTGCTCGATTTAGAGAAAATATCATATGACAGGTTGGATGCTATAAAGAACAAGTCAGAGCTTTCCAGGCTGAAGGGAGCAAACAAGAAGGTAGCTCTGAAAAAGAGAGACATTCTACTTAAGTAGATTCCAAGTATTTAAAAGTTTGATTCTGTAAAAGAGTAAGAGTTGGAAGAGACCTTAGAGGTCTTCTAGTCCAAACCCCTGTTCAAGCAGGAGACCCGTATCATTCCAGACAACTAGCTGTCCAATCTCTTCTTAAAATCCTCCAGTGATGAAGCACCCACAACTTCTGAATGCAAGCCTGGTTAGATGTTTTCACTGTTAATGAAATTTCCTTTTAGTTCTAGTTCTAGCTTGGTTTTCTCCTTGATTAGTTTCCATCTATTGTTTTTTGTCTTCCCTTCTGGCGCTTTGGAAAATAGATTGAGCCCCCTCTCTTCTTTGTGGCAGACCCTCAAATACTGCTATCGTGTCACCCCTAGTCCTTTTTTTCACTAAGCTAGACAAACCCAATTCCCCCATTTTCCATATGTTTTAGCCTGCAGCCCTCTAAATCATCTGTTTACCATCCACTAAGATCAGATGGTCCCACTTATGAGTGTCAAACTTGATACACGTGATGTATCATATCATGACTTTTTTTTCCCCTAGCTGGTTTGGTTTATAGAGCAGTGGACAAGAGCAGAGCCTTTTAAGGGGCAGCACTCCAATTATAGAACTTTCTCCAAAGGAAAATCTGGACAATCCAACCCTCACCCCTTTAGAGGCAACTCCAGACACACTGTTCAGCCAGCCATATGTAGAATAACAACACATTTCATGATCAAACTGCACTAATCAAATTACTATTTTTCTTTCTTAAAATACACACTTTTAATATTGTTTTAAGCACTGCTGGTGATGCTTTATAACAACTGTATCTGACAGTTTTCTTGTAAACTACCCTAGATTTCTCAGAAACATTTAATTTCGCATAAGGCGTTGGTTTAATAAATTAGGCAGAAGAAACAAATGTTTTAATCTAAATCCCACAGACCTACTGCCTCCCAGGCGCATACTGCAGTGAAAATAAGGCATTCCATTTCTATCCAGCATAGCCACAGGACGATGGGAACTGTGATCCATGACACCCAGAAGACATTAGTTTGGGTAAGGCTGGATTACATTATAGAAGAGCAGATGAGGGGAAGTAGAAGCGAGAAACACTTTTTCAAGTCGCCTGCAAAATAATTGAGGAGGAGGAGGAAGGGGGTGACTCGGCCTTTTATTTTCAATTCACGCAATTCCTCTTCCCATCCAATCCAACGAGTTCTATTATCGGCTGAATTTTAGGGAGGGGAAGCGGCAAGAATAGGCCATGAAGCCGATCTGCGAGTTTGCTCTCTCGCCTGCCTGCGCACCACCTCCCCGACGCGGCACGCGGCTCCAAGCCATCTCCCCAGAAGTCCTTTGCAGATAATCAAATATATTTCTTTCGGGCCTCCCGCTTTTCTCGGAATCGCAACGCGACTAATACGGCTGGCCCCCTCCCCTCCAAACGGCCTCACCTTCCCACTGGCCTTCTGCGAACCGCCTGGCGTCTTGTCCGCCATCTTGCTTCTCTCCCCCGCTCAAACCCGTAGCGGAGGAGAATCGAGCACCGACTCCACCGATTGAATAGAGGACTCCAATGGGAAAGAGGGGGAAGAAGGCATGACGAATCGATTGCCCGGCGGGAAGATGTGGCCGATTGGAAAGCCTTGTGCGACAAACTGAACTCCTCCTCTTCCTGCGGGGCGGAAGGCGGAAGGCGGGGGGGGGGGGGGGTGGTGTCAGAGCGCCCTTCCTGCGCCGAAAGCGCTGGCTTCGTTTGGTGCGACGCAAGGACGTCGTGGCTTTCTGCGAACGTTGATCCCCACCAAGTTTCGATTCAGCGGTCAGCTCTAGAAAACGAAGCGAAACGCAAAAAACAAAAAACAAAAAAAAAAACCCTTGCTTTTCAGAGAAACTGAAAAATTATGCATTAAAAAAACGACAATTTCCTTTGTTTCTTATAATCCTCTCTCCAAACTTCTTTATCCTTTCAGTATCTTATGCATCTCAACTCTACAACTCTTGTGTATTACATTTTAGGTTCCATAATCCCCAGCCATCTGGAGGGCTCAATACCGGAAAAGGGTATCAAGAACTATCAAACGACTGCGTGTATAATTATTTTCACAGGACAATCTTTCTCTACTGGAAACCTTTAAGGGGATATATTTTCACTCATTAGAAATGCAGCTTGGAAGAACGTAACATTATAGAAGATACTCACATTTCAAGAAAATTGCAGTCCTGTGTACTGTTGCCAATTAATCCCAACATGTTTCAGTTTGAAATCTTGCTTCCTCTGCAATTTAAAAGATACTTCCAATAAATGTATAGTGACATGTTTCTGAAAATATAGACAAGAAAACACATAGTAAACATGTTTCTATGATGACAGAAGGCAAAAGAGCCAGAATGGTATGATGGTTAAGGCATCCAACTAATATTAGGGGACTCATGCTCAAGTGCACACTCACCAAAGCCATATATGATTTTGGAGATAAGTCATTCTCACATATAGGTTTGTTGCTAGAAATAGAAAGATATGGGACATACATAATTTTGAACTCTTGGAGGAAAGGCAGGATACAAAAGAAATATCTCTTAAGCCAGTAAAACATTACAAAACAGCATGTAGTTATTTCAACTTCAAACAATTTAACAAATAAAGGATAGACAAGAAAATGTTAGATGCTGCAGAAGTGAGATACTGACATTTATCTTTCCCCCTTTTTATTTAAAAGGAAAAAATGGTCTGATTAAAGAGCTATCCAGTTCATCTTAATATTCACAGCAAGCAACCAAGTAACCCCTAAAAATCTCTTAGTCAAAACATACAATACCCTTGTTTTTCCACATATAGCTTAGAGACCACTGCCAGACAAAATCATCTCCCTTAGAAGCTTGGTGAATAATAATGGCTTGAAAGAATGGCTTTTGTCGGTGCAGTTACATCCAAAATGCTAGTTCCAATCTAAAGTATTGCCTATATATAACAAAACAACAAGATTGAAGCACCAGCTGCCTTAATCAGATTACAAATTCATTGTTCTGGCTAAAAAGATCAAATAACTTACACGTGTCACAGGAGCAGTGAGAAAACTAAAAGATCATAGCAATCTGTAGGGAATAATATGAGTGAAAAGACTGATCTTGGTTTTGCCTAACAAATACAGAATTCTCATTTAACTTTCAGCACCTTCTTTTAGCACTTATACTTAAAGAAGACTGTTCTGTGGAATTTTACATTTTTCTTTCCTGTAGTTTAAGAATTAATAAAGGAAATGCTTCTACTCATCAGTTTTCCATTTCCATATAATAACATTGGGGGGGGGGGGGGGGGGGGGGGGGTATGGTGTTACCAAAATCTTTGAAGGCAGTGTCCTTTGCCACTAGAGGGTGCAAAAACATGGATTTTCAGAAGGGAAGTCATCTAAATATCTATGTTCATCTTTAGAAAAATGTAACTTCTTGCTTGGCAAAGCCTATTAAATGTCTTGAAGGTAGGATCATAACACTGCAGTTGTTTAATATTGTGTGTATGAAGAAGCATTATGGTTTGTAAGACATAAGGATACCAATTGTGGTTTAATCAAACCATGAATAAACAAACCATAGGTTATCATAGTGTATGATGAATTAAGTATAGTCTGCAACATGGGTTTATTCCAAAATCAAAAATTGTGTATGTTAACCAAACCATTTTAAATAATACATATGTGGGATATTTCTTAGCAGGTAGGCAAGGCAACAAAGAGGCCATATCCTGACTCACAAACAATATTCTGTCCAGAGAAAAAGTAGGATAAATAGTGCTTATGTGCAGATTTAAGCACTTCAGGAGGGATCATGCTCTCTTGCATTTATGTGTTCAACCATTATTTTTATTTATTTAATCTATATCACATCTTTATTATTTTTTACAAACAATTCAAGGTGATCTAATATTACTACTTCCTCCTATTTTTCCCAGAACAACAACCTTGTGAGGAGAGTTGGACTGACAGAGAGTGACTGCCCCAAAGTCACTGAACTGGCTTTCATGGCTAAGGTGAGACGAAAACTCATAGCCTTAACCACTAGAACAAACTGGCTCACGTTATTATATGTGGTAGTTTTGCAAGTATATGAAAAAACATATTAGATAAAGACAATAATGAGAATGCAGAAAATATTTAAGAAACACATACTAATAAAACCTGAAGCTTTTCTTTTAGGTATTATGGACGAAACAATTGAAAAACAATATGAGTTTCTCCACATGGTGACCGCTGTGAGGATTGTATTTGCCAAGCACTGGAAAGGAAAAGAGGTGCTGATAGTTGAAGAATGGATTTTAAAATTGACTGAATTAGCAGAGATGGTGAAACTAATTGCTTTGATTAGAGATAATTAAGTAGACAGCTTTATAAGACACTGGAAGCTGTGGAATTTCTACATGTTAAATACAATAATAGATGGTTAACATAGGGATTTGAACATTAGTGTAATGTTTAGATTAATTTATTGACTGTTGTTGTTTTAAATATACTATGATCAGATGTTGGGTCAATTTGATTATCAAATAAAGATTTACTCACTTGAAACATTTATTTAATATAGTATTCTCATTAAATTGGGGAAAAGCTTATAAATATTTGTAGACTCGTAATGTAAAGGGGAGGAGAATTTATCAGTTTTTCTTGTTTTTTTTCTCAGCAAAAAAACCTATTTGTTTAAAGTTAAATTTATTTGATATTTGCGTCATTTTTTCCCCCTTTTTTGTACACATTTTTCCTTTTTGGTTGTTAGTGTTGGATGTATGTTTTTCTGTTTTGCATTTTATCCTTGTTGATAAAACAATGTAAATGTGGATGTAACAGAATGTGGATGTAATAGTTTTGCTGTGCATTAAAATTCACCATCAGTGGGCTTATTGTGTATTCCAAACTTTTTGTTCAAAATAAAAGGCACAGTGAAATAGGAAGTCAGAATTCACCAGTTTCAGACTAGGCAAAATATCTGTTCTGCTCCAATCTTTTATTTTTCATATTCCCATGAAAACATGAAGAGCACAAAAAGGTTCCTTATAACACCCCATCAGCAAATATTTCACCACCACTTGGACCAATGCAATTTTAATGTTTAATGATGTTATTGTATTGATCTGCCAATCATCACAAAATTGATTGGTAAGCTAGTCATACTGGCTGTTAATTAAAAATAAGAGCTAGCCCTACTTGCTATATCAACTCGCTCTTGAACAAAGAGCAAATGTAATGTTTAATTTGAAGTAGTGTCTGATATCAATAAGATCCATTGCTCACTCTTTCATAACTTGATAACCTACAATTATATGTCCTAGAATTTCTAGCCTTATTAGGAAAGGCTGCTTTGAGTTATAAAGAGCAATAATTATTTATTCAACAAATTTGTATTTTATTAAATTTATATGCCACTCATGTCACAGTATGACACTGAGTAGCTTACAACATTGTCTTGAATCTTATGAATCTTCAAAGAGTTCTATGTTCATTTCTCATATTATTTTACTCCTTTATTAAATATAGATACTCTGAAGTCGTTGGTTCCTTTGAACCTGTACCTACTTCTGCTGTGGTTAATATTTATCGCTAAAGAATAAAACAGAATTACTTAAAGGAAGTAGGATTACGCTACCTATTCTTTAACCACAAACAGCCTGGAATTTACAATTTGTCAAGTTTAAAAACCCATATAGGGATAGCACAGCAGCACCATGGATAGCTCTGAACAAGCAATTTGCTGCAGGAGCAGAAACTTCCACAGGCAGCCCCCATCCCCCATACTTTCACTTTTCTCTGGAAGATGAAAATCTCAAAGGATAAGCCGCTAGCCTACAGTCTAAAAAAGTCAGAGAATGTGGGGAATGGCTCTTCACTCCATACTCAAATATAATCTCTATATAATTTAATATAATTTTCTAAAAGGTTTAAAATAGGTCATTATGCAATATATTCTTATTGATGCAAGGTATTAAAATACATGATTAAAAGCAACAAGGAAATATTTAATTAAACTGTTTAACCATTCTCACATTATCTATATTGTGGTTGCTGTTCCTACCAATTAGTAATCAGATAAAGTGACAGCTTTGCCTTCTCAACACCCCTGAGAACTGCAGCTGTGATCAAAATTCAGGCTTATATCACACTATAAGCCTTTGATGGTTGTTCTCTATCCCAATCATAAACTTATATCCTTTGAGTTCAACTGAAATCTTGCATGTAATTATCCCATTTAAACACGTTAATTTAATATTTTACTCATTAAGAAAAATATTTCATTCATTAGGAAAAGGACAAGGGAAGGTCAATGTACGTTGATCTTTTAAGAAAGGTCTTGCCCTCACTTGTGTGCTCTGACAACACCAACAGCCAGTGAGGGAGACAGCCTTAAATTGTCATCAGCTGAACTGGTATAGAATATGATACTCCCTGGATTATGAGACTCGACTTAGATAAATATAACTATGCAAATGTTTCCATAACTGACATGCAATGTTTCCTTCCTGCTTTGAGCCCTTTGCATGAACTGATTTTTATTACCAGACCTTGGCTCT